GATAACATAGCATATATTGTATTCAAGTACACCCATTCAGATGCAATAATTTCCTTATGAGTATTTTTTTATGATTATCAAATGTCCAATAGTACCGAGATTAAAAGGAACAAATGTGTTGACTTTGAGGTGAGATGAGGGGTTGACCACAGTCCTATTTTCAAAACAGAGGTGTGCAGAGGCTGCAGTAACGGTTTGGGAACTACTGCATTGACCAGAGCAAATGTATGTACAAAAGCATATGGAGAAAAGTTTATAAAATTCCAGCACCCTGGTTCTAATGTAAACAAAGTAAGCAACAGAGAAAAAAAATACATTGGGATTTGGGAGATTATTTAAAAAAAAACAAAAAAAATTAACGTTTTTATCTCAAATATTTACTGACATTTTGTGTTTACACCTGAACTCAAGCCTTATACTCCACTGAGATTTTAACTCTGTACTCTATACATGTTTCGGAGTTCTGTTTATTTTGTTGTGTATAACTAGAACGGATTACTAAATAAAATACAGGGAGTTTAAAGATTAATTATCCACATCAAACACTGGAATGTACAGAAAAAGAATCCAATGCACAGCTCTTTGTTTAAATGCAGATGTATGCAGTGTAAATGATTGTTCACACAATGCATGTTTCATGCATTTGCAACAAAAACAAAACAACTCAAGTACCATTACAGTTTTTAATTTTTTGGCAATCTTGGTTTGTAAAATCTGAATATAAGCCGCAGCCTTTTTGCCATGAAATCCACATCTGAGTCTTTGGAGCATCTCTTTGTAACAGTTTTTTCTAATGCTGAGCTTCCAGCGGAGTGCTCCGCTGATAAGACATTGAGTATTCTGGTGCTTGTCTTAGATCACCATACTGTAGTTTCTGCTCAAACAATCCTGCAGCCCCATCCACAGTTTCTTAATGAACCAATACATTTTTCTAAAGGGTCTCCTGACAAAATAAGAGTTCTTAAACACAAGATTCAATTCACTGATGCATTAGAAATCCATAAGCAATGTGCAATAGAAATGTGCTCCACTGTTCTACCTTGCTGTCAGCCAACAGTATCAACATTTAATCTCTCATGCACAGCTGTGCAAGGCAACAGGGCCTTGTCTTCTATGCTCTTCATATTCTCCCTACTAAAAAGGTGACCTGCAAAAATTCGGTTTTGGTCACCCAGCCCCCACATACACAGACACACAATGTAACTTCAGCATACTCTTTATGAAAAACCTTAAGTCAAAGCACTGAGTATGAACATTTGAAATATTTATTTATTGTATATTATGTGAAGGCAGTACCAGAAACCATGGAAGTCTGAGGAGGCTACAGCCAACAGACTCTGAACAGGAGATCAACCAAGACTAAACAAGAAGTGTGCGTCTGACAGATGTGCTACATCTGTCATAATAGCTGGTTGTGTTTTTGCACGAAACGTAAGTCTTGTTTGAAAAAAAAAACCCACACATTTTTGCAAATTGCTCTCAACTTGTGCTAACAACAGACTGAAAACAATGCTAACCTCTTTAACCACTCATGCAAAACAGTCTGGAAAGAGGAACCTACAAGAGTACAAAATAAAAGAGGGGATGAAAGAAAGACTGGACTCGTGTAGAACACTTCAACCTGTGGTACAGCAGCTGATGTACAACATTACGTCTGGAAGCAAAGAAGAACCAATTTTACAGTTATAGTTATAGCCATAATATCATTTCACCTGTTAAGGTCCACTGCTCAATTTTAAACTGCAAATATCTTTGGGCAGGATGGTCAATAAATAAGACATCATTTGCAGACATTCTTTGCATTGTTAAAGCAGTGGTTTCTAGCCCACATACAGTACCCAGAGCTATCATTGGGGTACAGCAGGTCAAATTAATTCAAATTTTAAGTTTCTTTATTTGTGCCACTATGGGAACATTGCATGGAGAATGGCAGTTTGGCAGAAAGGATTTTACAAAAGGTTTGTTTTTGTTTGCTTTACAGATTGAGTTATTATTTCCAACATGCTTTTACTTAGAGATAAAAAATGCCAATATTTATATTTTGTTAAAATATGTAGGATTGAAATGCACAGACTGTGGTTACACTGACTGTACTCAAACTTGGACAACAATTCAATTTTCTGGTTGGTTAAACACTTCTATTCAACAGTGAAATATCAACACCTGAATTTCATTTGTAAAGACCTACAGTACAGTACAGTGATGTGACTTTGTGTTTGATAATACTACATCCCTTTAGTTACGTCTGCGTGTTCTGAAAATAAATAGTTTATTATGATGTCAGACATTGTAACGATTCCCTACATGTGACAGTAGGGCACCTGCTTTGTCCAATTACTGCAGATTATTGGACTAGTTTGGCCAATTTAATTTAATACTTAGTTGAAGAAACAAAGGAAATACAGCATGATGATAGGGAACAATCTTTAGTAATGACTAAAAGACATATGCTCCAAAAACGTATTTTGCAGCCCAGAAAATAAGTTTATGGGTCATCTTACTGAAAAAGCTATTTTAGGCTGAGTTCAAATCTGTTTTTCAAACTTTTTGGTTCACAAACTGCCTTCAGGAACGGATTCAGTTAGAAAAACATGGTTCCACTGTATACATGTGTGTTTATACTATATATATCTGCATTATCTTTTTTAAGGTAAAGACATCAATGGATTGTTATTTAAGCTTAGTTTAAGCTTTTTTTTTTTAGCTAAGTTTCACACACAATGATTCACCTCTGAGACCACCTAATAACCCATAGCAATTATTTTGATGCCGATAACAGCAGACTGCAGCAGTAGCAAAACCTACAAAGTATTGGGTGAATTACTGTAGTACTACGTGTTCCAGTGGGACCCTTCAAACATCCAAGGCTTCTGCTTCTGCCTATCATTTGCAAGAGACACCAACACTTGATATAAACCAAAACAGAACAAAACGTTATGATAAAAATGCAGCAGCAGTGTAAGCTAAAAATTACAGATTGTCATATCAGTAAAATAGGTAGTAACAACTGCCTGAGGGGAAAAGCCAAATTACAAGAGGTAAAGTTTCAACTAGCACTAATCACGCCTCAGATAAACCTCATAGGCTACAAAGAGGTAAGAGATTTGAAGAGTCTGATAATAAAAAGTTCAATATATGTAGTTATATACAGGTATGTATATTATATATAGAATATATATTGAAAAAATATTTTTATATATTAAAGATGAAGACTAGATTACCTAATAGATTAAGTAGGAGAATGAATATAGAAATAGTCTTTTTATTCATAGTCAGACACCAGTGATTGTCCTATTGATGTATGAGATGCACATTGTCTGAGGCATCATCAACCACTGTTATGCAGCATACTTATGACACTACAGGATAAATATGGAGAAGAATCTCAATATTCTATTGAACAGTGTACCTTCAACAACATGTGCCAAACACTGACCCAGTTTTTAAAACATCAACCATTGATAAAAAAGTACAATACTGGCTAGGGTAAGCTTCTTCTGCTAATCTTTATCCCACCTCTCCTTTTTAGGGGGTGTTTTTACAGCAGCTCTGCATCCTTACAGTTGACTTTTACAGGGAAATATTTCAAGCCAGAAACGTGCTGATGAATTGCCAAGGAATGAAGAAAATGAACAAGAAAACATAGGGAAGGATCCCTGCTGATGACCAAAGCAATATGTACCTTTAGTGCACTATTTTTTTTTTTTAATAATTAAGGAAGGAAGGAAATTTGCTGCATAACTTAGATCATACATGTCAAACTCAAGGCCTGGGGGCCAAATGCGGCCCTCCAAGCCATTCTGTGTGGCCCGCAGGATCTTAAAAAGCATTTAATAAAGTCCATGCAGCAGAGTTTATCAACCTATAAAATTAAAAGGTCTTTTTTTATTACACAGCAATGAACAATATTTGTAGCTTGAATAAATAATAATCAATTGAGTATTAGTAAACAGTATTAGTCTGTTATGGAGGAGCTACATCTATACCAGACTCTATTCTGTTTGTATCAAAGTCTGAATGACTTATTTTAAAATATTGCCAGATTATAGTCAAATAAAGAAAGTAAATGGAAAAAAAAAACATTTTTGAATGAAGAAAATTAGAATTTTTTCACTGTGTCCCACTGCGGGCTGGTACCAAAGGACCTATGGACTGGTACTGGTCCGCGAACCGGGAGTTGGGGACCCCTGATCTATACAGTGTTCCATTTTAAACCAGCCCTTCAACAGGAACTGTACTGCTGATGTGGCCCCCGGTGACACCCCTGACTTAGATGGTTTAAATTGCCAACTTTTGTAATAAAATATATTGCTCAACCCTTACCTATGTATAACAAAACATTCTCAGAGCAAAGCCACCAAATCCTTCTCCATCCTTTGTGTAACAATAAAAGTCATAGAATCATTGATGTGGAGTCAACATCCAACGATTGTTTAACTTTTACTTTAAAATAATTAGCTTTTAATGGCCCCACTGTAGTATGTTTGCATAGCATTTGGAGACCATTAGCCTTGGGCTAGTATACCTGGCCAGGTGAAAGCCCGTGGTGAAAGGGCAACACACGTATTTATGACACACGCACGCACACCACAGGCTGTCAAGGCTATATATGTTTACAGACGCTAAAAAAGCTAAAGCATATAGCATAAGCAGGGGTTAGCTTAGAGCTAGCCTCAATGCTGTCAGACCCCGGACCGCCACAAGTTAGGAGAGCAAGCCCGCAGGAAGAAGAGGAAAAAGAAGTTCCTGCCGAGCCATCGGCTTCCTGGGATAAATACAAAAGACACACACAGCACACACGGACACTGAACAGAAGAAACCGTGTCCTATTATGTGTTAGCAGTCATAGCTACTGTGCTAGCTCTCTCCGCTAGCTGTGTAATGTCACTGCATCGCTGTTGTAAATGCATTATAACAAGCCTCCGCTTCTTACACGTGTGGACAGCGGCTAAAACTCCTTCTCAGGAACACTGAAAAAGCTTCCCCGGCACAATGCTCACCTGCTCCGGATACTGGACACAGATTCTCACCGGCGAGACATCCATCTGGTTACCACGAAAAACACTGGCGCTTTTTATTTCCAAGGACACAAAATCGCCATGACAGTTTAGAAAAATGCATAAAAAATTAGCAGGCAGGGGAGGGAGGGGAGAGAGGGATGGGGATGGAGGAGGTTAGGGGAAGGAGGGAGGGAAGGGGTGGAGGAGGGAGGAACGGAGTGTGGAAGGAAAGAGTCGGAGGAGGAAAAGGAGTCCGCACAATATGTATTAAATCCACGTATAGCTCCCAGCGCCGGAGTTCATTGAGTTAGTCTGGATGTCGGTGTCCGGTACTGTTTTTGTCACCATAATCCGGTCTAGACAACACAAATACACTCACTCTGGCACACATAAAGTCCCTCCACATTCACATGGACGAGCCCGGCACAAAAGTTAAAATGCTCTTCTTTTCTAAAATGGCCACTGCAGTGTCCAAAAAAGCCCAAACAGATCCGTGTCTGCTGCTGGAAGTTTAGTGGAGGCAGTGGAGGCAGCAGCGGCGGCAGTGAGGCTGCTGCTGCTGCAGCCAGCCTAACCTTACCCTCGGCTTCCAGGAGCAGCTCCGCATTTCACATTTTTCCATTGGCTGCAGCCTTTGCGCAGCTGGCTAACTGCATATTTCCATTGGCCCTGCAGCTGTCAAGCAAGTGAGCGAACCGAGCGAGGCTCTCCCGGGTTAGTTTGAGAGAGCTGTCGCGGCAGCCCCGGGCAACACCATTGTGCATTGTGTGCGCGTTTTCCCCTCTACTCTGTATTTCTTTCAGCTTCCTGGTGGACTGCGCACACGCATGTCTGTTGTTTATCTCGGTGCTAGTTCTGTTGTTGTGTATTGGCTCTTACCGCAGACGTGCAGGGAAATCCTTCTTGCACCGGGGGAAGCTTCCTGCCGCACCGCCGCCCGGCTGACTCCTGCTCCTGCTGTCATTGAAGGAGAAAACGGGGCTTAAGGGGGAAAAAACACCCACCGAGACAACAGACACAAGCGAGGATTGTTCAGCCTTTAGCCCCCCAATGCAACGGATCGAAGGGGTTTACATTTCGCCTCTGCTGCCTGCGTCCACCAATCATGTCTCTTTATTCTCCATCATCATCACCGGGTTGAAGGGTAGAAGAAAGATTCAGATCAGACATTCCAGGTTTTTTGCAGATCAGCTCGCGTTTCCCGGATGTCGTGTTTCTTTATTTGGACTTCATGTGTGTCTGTGAGGCTGCAGGCTTTTGTGAGGGTTTCTGGAGTGAAGGTCGAGGTTCCGTCTGAAGTTCCCAGCCCCTGCCATCACTGTCAAAAATACATCTAAATACTAGGGTCATCAAATCCTGAATTTAAGGTGATCCTTTTTTTTTTAAACCAAGAACATCCAAACTGATGGAGATATGAAGCAGTGAAACTCCAAAGTTGTGCTTCATGTTGGCCTGGTGTCATGTCATCCTCAGGTTTCATGTTCTCAGCTTAACGTTTTTATTTTAAAAGTGCAAAAATGGAGACGTATGAAAATATCTATGTTCTATCTATGTTTAATCTACCAACTATTTCAGAACCCTCCTACAGAGCCTCCTGTGGAAATTTCTTTTAAAAACCACTGTCTTACGGTATGGTTGCAAACAACTTATCAGGAAGCTACACTTTTACGCCCTACACGGCAGGCAGCATACAGGGGCAAGAAACAAATGTTGCATCATCAGCTGTCAATGTCTTTTTCATTTAAATGCAAACATTATTAATATCATGAACTTAAGTTTACAAATATATGTATTAGATGCTTGTTCCAGCTCAGTTTTTTCTGCTGTGTGTCTGTCTGCAATGGATTCTGGGATATGTAATTATGGGTAGTGTTTACATTTAACGACTTTGATGTACTGTAAATGTACCTGACATTTCATTTACACTATTTAAAAACTCAACTTCTAATAATGATACTCCTAACAATTTCATTGTTCATGTTATTTGCTTTTATAATTTTACTTTATTTATAATTTACTATATTGTTATGAATCCACTGTTTTATAAATCCCCATATTTTTTAAAATATGTTAATAAATTTAATATACGTTTTACCCCAGTGAAAAGAATTGTGTTGATACTTGAAGAACAAAAAATTACAAGGTGACTCTTGAAGACAAACAGAGTTGTAGTTTTAGATTAACACCAATGGTTTTTGACTTAAAATGAAAATCCAGACACAAATCTTAGCTGCATTAAGACTGACAATAGAGCCATGCTGTGAAACATGAAGCCATGTTTGCAAAATGAACTGCAGCAGCGACATTCAAATGACTTTGTGGCCTTTCGAACCACAGGGATACTCTCAGTAGACTGCTTTGACACAGGTATTTGCACTACTGCAGTTTTCCACATGGCCATACCTGCCTCTTAGTGTGTCCTCGGCATCCGTATCAGCCAGGTTGCATCTGCCAGTTTATGTTTTCGCCATGTCTTTGGCTGCAGTGAATTGTGAGCTATGTAATAATGAGTGGGATTTATAACTTCTGCATAAACTCCAAACCGCTCAAACACTCCAGTGCCTTCAAACATCCATCCTAAACCTGTCAAGTACTATAATAAAATTCTATTCCCAATTTCACCTTTTTCACCTCTTTTATTCACCCATCTGTCATGAACATGTCTAGTGTCTGCCTTGTCTACTGACAAAAGTCAATTTCCTCTTTTGACACAAGTTAAATTCTCATTCATTAGAAATTATTTTGTTAGAAATTGTCTTTTTTTAGTTAGCTTAGTTTTTAGTCATTTAGTCAACTACTCGCATATGGAGACAGATACACACATTTAATATGGTAACTGAGAATTACACTGTTTTCCAACAGACCTTAAGTTCAATGAAATATTAACACTAAACTAATACTAAATATTTATAATTAAATATTATGAAGAAAACGCTTTAGTTGTCCATGTACTATTACACCCCAGTGAATAACAACTGAATTATTTGTACCTATGGAATAGGTTTTTTTTTAAAATTTATTTATTGTTTTGGTGCATGCCCAAAACACCACAGCCCTGCCAAAATTGGGATTTGAACCAGCAATCTTGCAATTATATGCTAGTCATGGAATTCAACCCAGCAATCCTCCACACCTATGTCACCTATGATTCTCTAACCCCTAGGCCCTGAGCTGACCCCTAATGGCATATATCAGTATTGCTTTTCAATTAATATTAAAAATATATATATTCTAGACTGTTTTAGAATTTAACCTATTATTATTTAACCTTCATCATTTTACCTTCATCTGCATCAGGGAAAGGACACGTGAGCTAAACCATGAATAGTTTGTGTCTAAAGACTTCCATTCGTAAAATAATTTAACCGACTACTTCAGTGACTGCTGGAAAAGACGTGTTGGAAAAAATGAGTCATGATCTGTACACCATGCAAAGATGAATGGATTATGGAACAGTGCAGTTTGGTGAAGCTGAACCATTTGAAATCATCTGAACAGGATCTGGTTAGTTCATAAAGGATAAGGTTCTTGAAGCTGAAGTTAGGACGATAAATATTGACTAGTCACCACAACTGTCCTTTGTTAACTGTCTACATGCTTGCTGTTTAAATCCATCCTCTGGATTGATTAAAAACATGGAACATAAGCAGTGAATATTGTTCACTGACGTGTCTATGTTGTGGAAAGTTGTCTCCGGTCAGGCTGGACTCAAAGTGGGGACAAAAAAAAACAAAACAGCTACAGAGCCACAGTACGGTATATGTTTTGCCCACAGGCCACAGATGTTGACAATTTATTAAGTGAGCAGGTCTGTGATGTAACAAAGGAAATGATGAAGAGCACATGGAATAGATGACACTGCAGGAATACCGAGGAGTAGTAAACATGTATTCATCTTCTATAGTTCAGTCCTGGTTCAGTCACCTAAGTAGATGTTTTATAATCTGACAGAATCTGAGTCTTAAAACTTTTATTTGGATTTCACGCTCTGTGATGCTGCAAAGGTGATGATCATAACAATCTCTGCCCCCACATTAAGGTAGCTCCACCCATCCACAGGTGTGTAGAGAATACAGTTGTGATCAATCCTGTGTATGTATCCAGGGGTGTTTCTAGACCCCCTGGGGGCCCAGGCAAGAGGGACCATTACAGTGTCTAAACCTGTTCAATTATTTTGTCATTGATATATGGACTAATGGGAGCCATCTCTAAGGGCCCTGTTGCGACACCTGCTGGTAACTAACATTTCAATGAGATATCACAAAGCAACACTTGATTTCTGTCTGTACTTATGTAGCATTTTTCTAGTCCTGATGACAAGTTTGATCACCAACCTACTGACAGCAAAGCTGCTGGGGGCTGCTTCACTAGCATATAAAATGATATAAGTATTAACTAAAAATGTCGAAAAACAAGCTGATAGTCCAGTCAGCCACACTTCACAAAGTCACATCTTTTGTTTTAAAGATAAAGCTGTTCAATCTGATATAAATTCATAGATTTCTTTAATTATACCCATATATACTAAAAATAAAATATCTCTACAGACTAGAGTAAAATAAGTATCAATTATCAGTACCCTAATTACTGAGAATTCAGAGAAAACTCTGGTGAGAGAAGCAGCTGTTTGGACGGTTCCAGTACGGTACGGTACATCTCTATGTTTGAAACCAGAACCTCTAACTGTGTTTCCAATCAGCGCTGCTCACTGCAGACTGTAGCAGCCAGGATGCAGCTTGGCTGAGGACGACTTATTCTGCATCTGTTCCGTGCTCCCCTGCAATCCCCACTGATCCTGCCTGCTTTCTCTTGCTTTTTACCCCTCCCACCCTCCCACCCACTCTTCCTTCTTCTCCTTGCCCTCCTTCCGTCCTCCCCTTGCTTGGCCCCAAGCCCAGACAAAGCTGGAAGAAGGAGCCGATTCCCCCCCTCCACCACCACCTATCCTTCACTCGCAAAAATCTCCAGATCCTGCACTCCTTGAGTTTTTGTAACGCAGAGGTAAAGTGTGGATTGATTTCCTTCAAGGTTCCATGACTCTCACCTAAGACCTGGAGGAAACAAACTGCAGCACGAGCGATCTTTCTTGTGTTGACTTGTACAATCTCTGGAGTCTTTCCTTCCACATGATTGTGTTTCATGGCTGCGCCCCATACATGAAAACACACCACTCTCTCTTCAAGTTCCTAATAGTAAGATCACCAGTTTGAGCACCATTGGTTTAACCGCTGGTCTCTCTGTATGGAGTTCTCTTGTTCTCCCTTTGTGTGTGTCCCACCGTCTCCCATAATCACACAGGATTAGGTTAATGTTCTGGACTCCTCTTATTGGTGGATCTTTTCAGGCTCAGGTACAGATTTGATGAAACTGAATTAACACCCACAGTAAAAAATAACACCATGAGTGCACACTACACTCATTAAGTTCTCTCTGACTTCATGAATCACAGCAGGCCTCACTGTCAGAGACAGCCACCATGAACAGTCAGATGAAGCTGTCAGCGTCCAGGAAGGGACAGTGATCATATTTTTGGTCTTGTTTCCTGCAGACAGTCACTGCTAACTGGGTGTAAGCTGTTTTCATTTAGACCAAACTCTGGAGTTTCCCCGGCGTCACATACACAGCAGTAATTGCTGCAGAGCTCAGCTTTCATACAGTAAGTACGCACTGCAGTGACCAGCTCTCACATTTACATGCTAAAAATGTTTGCAGCCATGGTACGTACTGCATGTATTTATAGTCAGCTGGTGGAGCAGGACGCATCCCACACAACTCCTATTTTCTTGATTTTCTGTCAACATGCACCCAGAACCGTGTTCATTCGTCCTCAGCGACAATGAAGAGTATGTTGGACGTGAGTTGTGTAATACAATATTGGCAAGTACAGTACGGTATTACTTAGTAGCGTATATTTATGGTGATTCAAAGTAAGAAATACTGTTATAAAGTACTGAACTTACAGTTATTTCCCAGACTTACAATTAATACCCAAAGTCATATGAAGTACTATGAATTTTTTTGACCTTTAGAGGCTCCTGTAGGGAGATTAAGGAGATTAAGGAGTGTATAAATTAAGGTAAAGTTTTTTGGTATTTTTTATGTCAGTCAAACGTAAGATAGTACACTATCCATTTTATTGGATGGCTAGAAGAAAGAAATACAGTTAGAATTTTTCTCATTTTAATTAGTAAATCAAAAAGTTGAACGTTGGACTTTTTGGGCAGTTAAGAACATTTAAAGTTGTTGTAAAGTAAATTGTGGGTATTGTATTTACATACATGTTCATGTTAACATATGTCAAACATGGCATAGAGAAGGAGAAATACTCCAAATAGTGGTAGCATTTGTTTAATTCGTTTTTTAAAAAGGAATTTCTATATATCACTTCAGAATATGCATGTTGTTATATCTTTGACTGTGTATGTATTTATTAATGTATGTATGTATACAACCACAGATCATTCTATAAGTACTGGAAAAAGAAAAAAAAAACCTCATGTGATTAAGACAAAGTCACTACAATGGATGCCAGCGTCAGCAACTGTGGGGTTTGTTGCTCATGCGTCCAACGATCCAGATTTTGGCTGCTGCTGTTTCTGCTGTTGGCAGCCATGTTGGCTCCACAGTCTGCACCCTGGCTGTTGCTATAGTAACTGATGCTGATCTGCTGACTGTGGCCCATCTCGTCCTGGCACTGCCGTAGAGGACGCTTTAACATGTTTGTAACAGTAGCAGCTAAATGAGACACGGGAACAGCTGCTTTGTGTGTGTATGTCAGTGTGTGTGTGTGGGTGAGGGCTGACAATAGGTGTGTCCAGAAACACAAAGGAAAGGTGTGTGTGTGTGCTAGTCTGTAAAAGTGTGAATACCTGAAGCCTGAGACGCCAAGTGGAATTTTATTGAGATTTAGTCAGAGCAGAGTGAGATTTAAGATTTTGAGAAAAATCCATCCATTCTTCCACCTCCATCCATCTTCTGTTGTGGGTCATAGAAGCCAAAGCCCATCTCAAATGACATCACAGCTCTTTCTGCAGGTTTATATACAGGTCTATAAAGACAAAGAATAATAAAAAAAAAGATCAAATTCTCATCAACCAGGATTCGAATAATTCATATTTTGACCTGCTGTAAGAGCAGTGACAGAAGACAGACATTTTTTTGTCTAATGTTCTGAAGCAGGCGGTTCATCCTACAAATGTTTCCTCAGGTCTTGCAGCCCGGCAGGGGTCTTAAACACCCGGCTTGTCCCTGACCTGGGTGTTTGAGATATCGCCCCTTACCTATGACTGACATGCCTGTTTTCCCTTTTGTGATATAGACGGCGTAGTCATAGATTCTGAACATCAGTTCCTCTGAACAACTGTGTGATTTTTTTTGGGGCCAAACCTTAAAACCACAATCGACTGGTTTCTTCAGTTTTCAGGCCGGCAACTTCAGCTGGCTGCTGGCCTGTGGCTCAGCACACGGCAGACTGGGATGGCAGCCGCGGCGGAAACAGAGGAAAAATATATAAATAAGTAGATGAACAAATAAAAGTTAAACAGAAGCCTCAGCTGTATGGAGCAGGTTAGGGTTACGATTCAACTTTGTTTTATTAACGACACAAATAACAGCCAAAGAGCGAGAGAGACATAATGTTCTTCAGGGGTTAACAATGATTGCTAAGTTTCTCTAGTGGAAAGCAGATCATTTTCAAATTCGAGAAGTTGTGCTCAGGGTTTGAGGGAACATTTAAATAAAGCAGTGTCATGAGGAACCTATAATTTAAATTTTATCTTTGAAATATCTGATATATGAATGATTTGAGAGCATTGGTCACGACCGAAAGATTTTTTTGTTCCTTTTTTTTTAAGTTTCAGCTTTTATTGCTTTCTTTTTACATTTAAATTTACATAAAATTGCATAACTTACACTACTACTTACTAACTAACTTTTGTTGGCTTCTATCATGTAGTAGCACCCTTGTACCAGAAGGTGGCGTAACGCTACAGTAGTTGAGTAGTTGATCAAGTCAACGTCTCTTAAAAAAAGCTACAGACAAATGAAATACTTCAGTCATACATAATCATTCATATATATATATATATATATATATATATATATATATATACGTATATATATATTTAACAATGTTATAACTTTGTAATTTCATTAAATGTGTACCAGGAGCGATTTCACTTAAAATAATGTCATTTTATTTGTTCCCAAGAAGAGACAAAGATGAGTTTTATATCAGCGTGTCTGTGTAGGTTTTCAGTCATCCAGGTCAATAGTAACATCGAGGGCAACTGAGGGCAACGGAGTAGGTTTCTTGAAGACATTTCACCTCTAATCCAAGAGGCTTCTTCAGTTTTGCAAGTTGAAATAATGCTTTTCCCCATGTGTCTGATTCCCCACCGGGGGCACCATGGTCAAGGTAGATGCAGAGTTGTCCAGGTGTGGACCTTGGACTGAAATGTTTGTTCCTACTTTCCCATCTTTTTCTGTTACTTATTGTAACAACTGAATACAGTGAAAGTGTTGTTGTCAGAAGACTCAGAGTCTTCCAACTGAATCCAGCGTTGGAATGTCAACTGAGGAACTGTTAGAACCCTGATCCTAGAGAACATTTCCATCTGTCACATGTGTAGGAGGGTTTGGCCTCACTCTATGTGTAGGACAGACTCAGCAGCAGTAAAACCATCTGACTCAGATCTGACTCTTGGTCTGAAGCTTTGACCTTCATGACCCCCAGAACCGCAAGGAATCGTCACGTTATTAATGTTGACGTGACATTTTTAGATTCTGCAGTGCCCCCTCGTTGTAGATCAGCAAAGGAAGTGTTGCATCATTTAAGGAAGTGCAAAGAAATGATTGAATGTGAAATTGATTATGTCTTGCTACCTTCCACATGCAGGAGCAACCAAACACATTGAGAACCACTGTCATAAGTCAATACAATTTTATATGACACAATTTGATGTCTACATCTGTAACTGTAACTACAGTTGTAAAAGTTACTTTAAAAAAATAAAAATAGAAACACTTTAATATAGTTTTCTAAATAGAGAAAGTTCATAAACAAGAACAAAAACTTGTTCTAAAACTGAGAATATTGTTGTTCTTTCCTGTTAGGTTGCAATTCTACTGGAATTAAAAACTGGAGAGCACAGATGCCGAGTCTGTAACGAAGTGAATACACACACATACACACAAGTGTAGACTCAGCTGTTACGCTGGTGGGGGTGTGATGAGGGAGTGGAGATGCAGACCTCAGATACACAACATATGCACGTCCCTGCCTCCTTATCTCTGCCCGCAGTGTGTGTGTGTGTGTGTAATGAAGATGCCAGCTGAAGTAAATATCTGCCCTCATTTCTAGTGGGTGTGTGTGGTATGTACATTTGTGTGTTACTAAAGATACAGTATATAAAACCAGCTCTACTCTATAGAGTGTGTGTGTTTTCGCTACCTTGGTGTGTGTGTGTGTCTGTGTAAACGTGAAGCAGATTGACAACAGAATCCATCCCTCAATAATAAAACAAAGATCTTCTGATATTGACAATTTTTCAGCTGGGTTATTTTAACCCAAAGTCCACCTGTAGTACACTGGTCATTTAGATACATTAACTCTCAAAGTTAATTATAAAGTACAATAGTTTTTAGAAAACTCCTTGAATGAGTTCCTACAATACAGTAGTTTACAGTTAAACATGTGACGTTCAAGTTTCAGTGTAAAAATCTGAGAGATTAGAGGTTCCTTGAATTCTCCAGACACGCTGCTCCCACAGCAGAGTCTGATGTGAACGTTCACCCCATTAAAGCGGATCGAGGACTCGAGGTCAGTATCAATGGAGAGTAAACAGCAGTTGAGCTGCTATTTATAAAAGTCTTAAAGCAAAAACCAAACAAACATCAAAGAAGTTGGTTTACGTTTGGGAAAAGTGTGGAAAAAACAACAGTGAGAAAAGTACACAAAAATAGTAAAAAAAATATAAAAGTTTTTTTTTTTTTTCCCAAATGTCCAATGACTTTGTGAGGAGACCGAAGTGGACAGAAGAAGGGGAAGATTTCCAGAGTGGGAAGAGCTGAGAGAGGAAGAGGAGGAGGAGGAGGGAATTACACAGAAGGGAGTGGAGATGAAGCTGAGGGGGAGAGAGCAGAGAGAGAAGGAGAGGCAGAGCTGGAAGGAAAACAGTGGGGCAGAGGCTGGAGGAGCAGATGTGAGTAGGACCAGGAGAGAGGGGGGAGGAGGAAGAGGAGAGAGGAGATAGGAGCCGAAGAGCAGAGGAGCAGGGGAAGTGAAGTAGCTGACATTGGTGTGAAAAAACTTCTCAGGCTGCTGGACGCTATCTGGACCAAGCAGACGGCTGACGAGGGCGCACGCACACACACAAACACACACAGAGAGTGTATTGGATATGACTCCTCCACTCAGGCTGTTGTTGTTTGGTGTGACAGACTAACAGTGACGGCTGCAAAGAAGCACTTCCTCTGTCAGGTGAGCTTTACATGGACGCATATTGAAAATTTGCATCCTGGCTAATTCATTAATATTGAAATTTAATGTGATGAAGAGTTGTGATGAAGCACATGTTCTGGCATGTTCTAAAACTATTTTTGTTTGTTTTTGTTTGTTGTTGTTTTAAGCCTAGTGACTACTTAATAAGTACTTAGTACTTATTGTTTGATTCATGATATGGCAGAGATGCTTCTAGCTCTAAGAACTCAGTCCTGCTGTGTTGTAATTCATTGGCTATAATGGTACTGAATGATGGGGAAAGACTTCACTTATGTTCTATTCGTACACATACTTGTATGTGTTATGTGTTTGCTTCAATTGCACTGAAGTGCAGCCGGTGTCTGTAAACACCAATCACAGAAGAGTTGGTCGGCTGCTGTAGTTCAGCTCTGTGTCTCCGTGTCCTGAAGACATGCAGGATGTGGAGTAGCATTTAAACCCACTGCACTGATGAGCAGCCGGGGGCTGAGTCTCTGGGTTGTCTTCACCATGTGATGGTTGGAGCCACTTCTGACAAAGAAGTGCAGATGATACTATGGGAAACCTCTGGTTTGGTTCAACCAAAGCTGGGAAGTGGGGTGAGAAGAGTTGGTGGTCCTTGTACTGTACCACCACAGCAGATGAGGACTGGGACTAGTTCCTGTCCTAAATCCTCACCACAGCCTGCAGAGGAAGCGCTAATGAAAGGAGGCGGAGCTTATGCCTAAACTGTATCACTACATTTACAGACGAGGCCACTCCCACATTGTCTCTGGACCACATGTGGCTCATGGGCCACTACTTTAACATCCCAGTTGTATACAGTTACCTCGTGCCCAGTTGGCCTGCAGCTGTATCAGTAACATAACAGTCAATACTGAGCAGCTACACTACACTACAGTTTCCTGCAGTTTTCATCTGCACAAACATCTGCAGCACCGCTGTCCTGCATTAATCTCTTCTGTGACTGGTAGGTGGTTGTGGTTGTAGTAGTAGTAGTAGTAAAAGCCACATTGACAAAGTAATTCCCAAATGTATATAAAGTTGTATATTTTGTATATTTCAGAGAGAAAATTCATATGAAGTTATAAATGTGAAAGTAAAGAAAATACACACATTTATAAAAGTTGTAAGTTTAGGAGAAAAGAAAATGTGCAATTTACCCACTTTGAAACTTTCCCCTAGTAGTAGTTCCATGCCCTCCTAGAGGGGCACCCCCCCCCCCCCCCCCACTTTGGGAACATATATTCAGTCTCTTCAGCCCAATCTTTTATGAATTGAAGAACTTTCCAGAACTCGTATATGTTCAAGGGTATTAAATCTGTCAGTGAAACATCAGTCCTTATTTACACACCCTGACTTTCTCAATCGCCCCCTGCTGAGACTAGTACATAAGTGCATTGTTTACATTTACTGCGACCACCTGGATCTGGTTAATCTCCTTTTTCACAACCTGGTCTACTCCCGTTCTCCCACTCTTTCTCTGTTTTGATATACTTGTGGGGACACAGTTTGTTAGAAGTTCTTTAGTTGTGGGGACAGTTGTCCTTGTGGGGACACTTTTTGGGTACCCACTGAGTAAGAGAGTATTATGAAGTTCAAGATGAAGTTTAGAGTAAGGGTCAAATAGAGTTAGAATAAGGATTAGGATTGGGCATATATTTGTATTAATGGAGGATAGGATGAGCGGAAAGTATGATCTTTTTCCGTTATAAAGTCAATCTCAAGCCTTCACTGTGGATGTAGGACTGAATCTGCTCATCATTCACTATTTTCTTAGAAAAAAGTCATCAGACTGTCTAAAAATACCTCCGTAGATGGGGGAAAATTGCAACGCAACAATTAACTGTGTCCATTACAAGGCTGATGGGTTTGTCTTTGTGCTCTAATGAAGCGTGCAGATGTTTATTGTTCTGCCTTCATGGTTTATTACATAGAGCGTGTGTGTGTGTGTCTGTGTGTGTGAGAACATGCATACATGTCCTTGGCATCCATAATGGAACTGTTAGCAGAAAAAGGACAGACATATAACATCTTTAGTTGTGTTGCCTTCTATACAAACATATGACATTGATAATAGTGCCTCCTGTTGGAGGCTGTGGTGGTGACAGTGTTCCACAGAGTTGTGTAAACCAGTCTTTCTGGGTGACTTTCAGATGCTGTGTGAATCAAGGTCACCCTCAGATCTGCTTTCTTTCAGACACATCAGCATTAGTCAAAAAGTTCTAAGACAGATGTTATTTATTCATCCTGGAGGAGACCAGAGGAAACAGCAAATATTTACCCAACACTGAAGAAAAACCTCTTACAATATTTATTATATACTTCTATGCTTTAGTTTTATGACCTATTTTACTAAATCGTTTTTTTAATGTCACATGCATTTGTGCTATTCCACCAAACTGTAAAGAAATAATGGGATAAGCCAAGTGTATCTGGAAAATCACTGCTGCTGCTGGAGGTGGAAAATGAAGCGACTTCTGGCTTAACTTTTTATTTTCGTCAGTAAATATATTTTCCTGAACAGTTTTATAGCCTCAAATAAAAGATACAGGTTGTTTTCAACAGAACACCATGCAGCATACAGTACAGAATACACACGTTCTGTACATACACTCACACTCACACACACACACACACCGATACCTGCTGCTTCTAATTAGACAGATGACATCATAGCGTCTGATGGCAACACGAGAGCAGAGCTGATTTGGTTTGGTGCTCTTTTGACCTCCAGCTCAACAAATCCTCAGGAGAAAATGATGAACTGGAAGAAAACTCACAGAGAGAATGAAAACTCACTGCTGGAGCACACGACCACTTCTTACATATAAAAACACAATCAATTAACAAATTGTAATTTGTAAGACCAAAATGTTTTTTTTAAAGTGTGTTTAGTGTCAGAAGATTTTAAGAAGAGAAAGCAGTTGCTAGTGAAATCCCTGGTGCCTAACTGCAACAACTAGTAGCAACTTTTATATTATTTTTTTATGATCAGGAGTTTATTTGTTCCCTCTCTTTGTTTGAACCTGAATCTTTGTTCCCTGTTATTTAGTGAGTGAACAGAAACACTAACTGCTTAAAAAAATAATTGCCGACCTCATGTTCATCTGGAGTAATTTAAGACGTGGATTTTTAAAGTTTAGGTATTGACTGCTGTGCCTTCATGGGCGTTTTATTGATGGCTGTAACTTTAATGGTCAGCCACTAAACAAAGCCACAGTGATGGCAGGGTCACAAATCATTAGCAGCTGTAGTTCACTGTAGCCCCCATCAGGCAGGACAAACCTGCATTTTTGTTTTCATTACAAATGTAGTCAAGGAAAATGCAGCTGAACACATTATTGAAGTAATAGTTTTGTTTAAGTGAAAAATTTACACATGGAATTTCAGGAGAACATTGAAATAGTTTCTGATGAACTTAAACTAACGGACACTGATATACTGTACATGCAGCTTTATTTTTGGTGTCAGTTCTGGAGCCCTCTGCTGAGTCATCATCAGGACTTTCTCACTATTTAAAGAAGCTCTTCAGGGAGACTCGAGTCCTTTTTTTAAATGCAAAATTTAACTAAAATTACCTTAAGGGCCCAAAGGTTCAGTAAAAAAACTACAAATGATGGAATTGATTGCTTTCAAAATAAAATACTGTGTGGGCAAAACCAAGTTGAAAAATAAATATATGGTTCACGGCCCAACCCTGAGCCAATGGTGAGGAAACCATGTGTTTAGGACATCAATTTTCCATTTTTATAATAAATATGGTGAGAAAATTTCTGTCATTGATTTCACAGCTAGTAGAGCTAAAACATTCACTACTTAACAAGTCAATAACAGGGTCAATTCACACTCCTACTCACGCGTATGGCTAGTTGACAGTGAACAATTCACCTAATCTTGCATGTTTTTGGACTGTAAAAAGAAGCTGGAGAAAATCCTGACATGGGGAAGACATGCAAACTTCAAAATAATCAACCAGGAATCAAGCAAATAGCAATGTTTCTCCAGTAAGGCAACAGTGTTAACTGCCACCTTCTGGACCTTTAATACATTCTATAGATTTATTTTTTGCTCTATAACATACTGTCACAGTCTGCTGCCCTCTGTTGCCTCATAAAGTAAAAATGTAAAGAAGGTGTTCATGACTTCCAGACGTATTGTTTTCTTCAACTTCAACTTCAACTTCAACTTCAACTGCTTTTATCTTTCACTCAAAGACATCATAGACAATTCTACACCAACAAACTTCACTGACAAACATCAACACAGGGGTTTTTCTGGTCACTTTCCTAAACCAAAGAAGGAGTTTTTTTCCATCAGTGTTTCAACACTCACAGTTGTGAAAAGTTCATCCAGACTCCACAGTGATCTATGAGCCCCAGTGTGACAGAACATGACGCCGGTGCTGCTACACTCCACTACCTGCAGCGTGTTCAGAGGTCAAACTCCTGTTCTGACCCTTTACAGGTCAGACGCTCGTGTTTAAAACACAAACCAGACACTATCCAGCTTAGCTGACCAATGGGTCATCAATCAATATGTGAATGTGTGTATGTTGGCGGAGGAGGTGATGGGGGTGGTGAAAATTATTGTGTTTATATATTTTTACTGTCTGATTTAGTGTATTGCACGTATACTTTTTGTAGTGCGTCTCTGTCTGAACACTTGTTTGTTTACATTTTTTAAATCCCTCCTTAGCAGGGGTGGACCACAGGGGGGAGGTGTCTCCCTGCCCCACTGCTCGCCCCCACAGAGACGATAACATTCTGCCTCATGACAAAGCAAACTTAGCTCAACATGTCTGAACCTAAGTGAGCTGGGGTCGCTGTACTTGACTTTTGGAAACACCTAGTGGTAATGGAGGGAATAACGCTCACAATGTCCTTCATGGATTAGTTTAGCTTGGCTTAGCCCAGCCTCAAAGAAGACTGTTGAGAAACAAGAAGAGGAAAGATGAATGAATGTTGTTTTTTTTCTTGACACCACCAAACACATTCGGACTCAGTTTCTTCAGTGGTACAGGAGGTGGCGATGATGTTTCTGCTCCCAAAGAGGTCCAAACAGAGGTACAGCAGGACACCAGACAGTGGTGGTCTGTGTGGACATTAAAGACAGCAGGAGGCTAGGGTTGTGAGGAAATAGTGATGCAGTGAAATATCTGGATATTTTGTTTCACGATACTGTATCCATATTCTACAGTATTGTTGTTGTTGATTGTTTTAACAATTAACATGCAAATATTTATGATGTTGGATCAGCTAATTTTTGCTTATATTTCTTCGCTCGTGATTACAACAAAACTACAGTATTGTTGTTGTTGATTGTTTTATCGTATTTATTTATTTATTGATCGTTGTGCCTATAGTACCGCAGTATACCTCAATACATCGTAATGTTGCCCCTGTATCGTGATATGTATCGTATCACTAGATTCTTGCCAAAAAAATCCCTCAACATATTAAATAGTGACAGATTAGTCAGCTGCCCCAGCAGCAGAGCTGCAGTTGTTATGTCTCGGCTCCATCTGCTGCAAAACTGAAAAAGCAAACAAGGGAAACTGTATTTCTCATCCACTAGACCAGACTAAAATTCACAATTGATGTGTGCCAGGGTGTAGTCATGACGCCGGCTGTATTTTAAGTGAATTTAATGAGGTGTTTCTGTGACAGGGCGGCCTGCGCCCCCCGCTGGTGTAGTTTTATCTGAGCAATATGCAGGTTGCCTCAGGAGGCAGGAGAAGAATTTCCATTTCACACACTGGTGAAATTCCAGATTGACTGAGCTCGCACCACAGGGCCTTTTCAATGGCCTACATTATGCCAAGTGAAGTCAATTACGTCAACGGAAAATCACCAGAAAAAGTGTCTTCACGCAGTCTGTACAGGAGATGTAGAAGATTTACATTTGATTCTTACCGAGGAAGATGAAGAGAAGGTAAAACTCAAGAACAAATCCAACTATTTAGTCAAGATAGATGTCCGAGTTGAAACTAAAGATTTACAACCCCATCGATGAGCTCAATGTAAAGAGAACGCTCAACAGAGAAGTTGAATTTCCCCTGGCAGAGACGTTCCTGTTCCTGGCAGCGATTCAGCTTCTGAGCTTCCTTTTCCAAACCTTAGCTGACAGAAGCACAGCGAGCCTTGACTTTGTGACGACCTTCACGCTGTGACATTCATATGCATCGCTGTCAAACACAGATATCGGCTTTCTACGCTCTGCTGCACCACTGGTACGGAACGAGGGAAACAATGAGTGGAGTCAGGTTTACAGGAGGTTGAGATGTCCAAGAGATGAGGTGTAAGAAAAACAAACAGTTTCACCATGTTTTGTTTTAATAACAGACTCTAAAGGCCAAGTATTTCAGAAATTTCTCCAGCTGTTTTTAAACAAACAGTAATTAGTTAATGCTCCGGCGCATTAGGCGCACTATGGAATTTGGCTAAATGTATTCAAAAATCACAGACTTAACACTCCATTTTTGCCTTTAGTTAAATTGGACAGTTCCAACTATTGACCATCTGTTGTTTTCATATATCATTTCCACCAACTGCTTCATATATTTCTGACTCAGTCAGACTTGTTAAATGAACATGATCCTCTGTGACTGTCAGTCACTGAGACCTGATGCTGTTTGTGTTTGTCCGTCTGTTTGGTTCAACTGTATTTCAGACTCAGACTCAGGCTTCAGTCTGACAAACACACTGATGTCCTATAAACACACTGACAAACTGATAAACTCACTGCATGTCTACCACCTGACGTGGACTCTGGCGTACTGCGGTGTTAAAGAACTCCAAAAACATTATGTATTTATTTAAAGTGTATTGTGTTTACAATTACAACAATTTTCTTGGCGATTATGCAGATTTCTAGCTAACTTTTGGTGAAATCGATCTTCTTATGCTGACAGTGACCTCCACTCTCTGCTCCCTACAACGTCACTTCAACAACCAACAGCCTAAAAACAAGGCTCCTTGTCCTGACAGGAACATGTGTTGTAATGACACTGTTTATCTGAGACTGAAAAACAAGAATGTCAATCCTCTGCACGTGGTAAATGGCCAAGGAAGAATCCGATCCGACACAACATCTGTTTTGCCATTATAGCATACCGCAGATAAAATAACATTACAAAAGTCAATACAATTAACAAAGCTCAGTGCCTTTAGAGGACATGCCCCCCACTCTGAGATCCAATGATCATGTTACCTTTCAGAAATATTTTTAAAAACCAATAGTTCTCAGGAAAACACCATACATTAAACATCATTGGTTGGAACCAGGATCCAAACCTGCAACCTGCAGACTCACCCTCCTTTACTTGTCTTCTCATCCGAACACTCTTCACGGTCTTTAGTGAAGAGACGGTTCTGCAGCTTCTGCTGAATCTATTAGAACCTTAAATCTACAGAGTAAAACCTGGGAGACGTCAAATCCACCAAACACAGACTCAACACAGTTTTAGGGAAAGTCGTTTGTCTTTAACTTTACTACATAACTCTTAGTCCTCAACACGTGGCTCTTTAGCCTCTGGTCATTGGCTCCCTGCAAAATCATATTCTAAATTGAAATTGTTGAAATCTATTTTCATCTTGCTTTGAAATTGTATTTATTTGTAAATTGGTAATAAATGACTCCTAGTGTTGCAGACGCGTGAGTCGTGCCGATTGCACAGATGTCTCTCTGTGTGTTGGACCCTGGAAACCGTCACCATCTCAGAGGACTTTCATATTTGCTCTGGATGTAAACGCGCAAAGCTAGGCAAAAACTGAACGTACTGCAGTACTGGCACGTTGAGCTGCAGTATTTCACTCTGTCTTGTCCTCTCTGTGGATTTGAAGCTCCGTGTCCTGTGTGGAGTCAGGAGGAAATGTGCTTTATCACTCAGGGAACAGGAACGCTAACTCATTAGTCTGCCAGCCTTTCATACCAGGTTCAAAGAAACCTCCTGTCATCACATCTGTGCAGCTCATCTCTTCTACTTCCTGTCCATTAGGCTGCAAAATATGGATTTCAAAAAAGGTTTCAAGGAAATAAGTTAAACTTGTCAGATGTGTTGTTTTTTTTTTTAAAGATGATCTGAATATTAGAAAATACAGCCAACATTTTCCCGGTAAGTTAGTCCATTTGATTTTGATACAGCCACTCAGTTTCTTATATTTAAGAACTTTAGCTGAAGAACTCGCTTTAAAAAAATCAAGTGCTACTTTATTAGGAAATATCAGTTTATCCTTTGTATCATTGATGACTCTGTACAAACACCTGACAATGACTTTAAGCTGAGTGTTTTTTCCACTCATGGCCTACGTTTGGTGTTCTTTGTTTTCAGGAATTCAATTTAATTAATAATCTACCACCTGATCCTGGGCTGCATCACAGTGCAGTGCATCATACACCCATGTATAGAGACAAACAACCAATTTAATTCAATTTAAGTGTTGTCACTTTAAACATGCGGTAATTAACCTATGGCAGGATTTTTATTACGAGCACACTCCTGTCAGTGTATTTGTATTAAATCACATATAATATAATATCAAAATTAACTGTATTTAGTCCAGGTTCAGCATTCATTCATACATATATATGATAAAGTTACTGTGTTACTAAGTGAGTGTTTACTCAGTTGTAAGATTTCTACTCCTGTTTTTTAACCCACTAGTTCACATCCACTTGTCAGATTAAATGTGCAGGAGAAGAAGAGTTCAAATGCAAACCTATTGTACAGACTTGGTAAAGATGAACTCACAGTCATTTGATTTACAAACTGGAAGTCACAGATTGAGATGTAAAATCTTTCCTTTTATACCGACTGTGTCTGTTTTTGTCTGGAAATAATAGGAAGGAACCTGGAAATGTGACGTACAGAGATTTAAACATAACTTATACTGGGGTACAGTGTGTGTGTGTGTGTGTGTGTGTGTTAACAGTCTCTCTGAGGTTTGGTTGAAGTGGTGATGACAGCAGAAATAATCGAGGAGAAAACCATGGACGCATGGAGGAGAGTGTGATTACAAACCCAGATCTCTCCTCCTCCTCCTCTTCTTCCTCATGTTCTCCTTCACATGTCACGAATCACATACACAGAACGACAAACCAGGAGGAGAAGGATAAAAATAATTAAATAAATAGCGCAGGACGACAGTAGTGTTTCTTTTTGTTTGAAAGAGAATGGAGATGAGGAAGAAAAGAAAATGCAAAGATCCAGTTTGTCTGTGGATGATTGAGCAGATTGTGAAAGAGTTTCCCACTGAGAGAGCGAATAAGAAGTTTGTTATTATTCCTTGGTTGATGATAATAAATGATTTAGTTTGTTCTCTGTCTGAGACCATTCATTTTTCCACTGATTTGTCACTTGGCTCCGCTGCACAAACACTGGGGGAAATCAGAAGACATATTTCAAAATCATTACGTAGCCTGTTCTGACTGCACACATGACTAGTGGGTCAAAAATACTAGTCGACTTGTCGACATCTGCACTTCTGGTGCACCGTCATGGAGTCAAATACCTGCTCCTGGAGGTTTAATACCCGAGTTCCAGGTTTAATATGATCAAACTAAATCACTCAGGTGAACGAGCTTCGACTTTGACACGTGTTGTAAATCCAGTCTTATCAAAAAGAGGCTCGAGGGCCACATTTTGCCCAGACACAACCTCACAGTGGCCCAGTCTGTGGTCATGAAGGAATGCAGAAAGAAGGCCACATGGCCAGGCAGCATGCGACCCACAATGCATCACTTGAGTTTCTGGGAGGGTTAGCAGTTTACTAAACTGCAACATTAATTCATTTGTACGTGTGAAATTAATTATAAAAGCTGTGAATCTTTTTTTTTATATGTTGTGATTTATTTTCTTTTTATTATAATTCATATTTCGCCTCTATTCCAGACTCACATGACGATGAAACGATGATGAAACAACTTCACAGCTTTTGATGTTTCCACTGGATCAAACACAGCAAAGTAAGGATCATTTTGTTATTTTTATTTTGTCTGCAGAGGGATAAGTGATGAACTGTTATCTTCTCACTTTTCACTGACCTGATATACACAGATGAACATGCAAATAAACACAGCCTGGACCTGAACCAATCATCCACCAGATTGTCACACACACACACGACTCACATAGTTTCACACTTCATCTATCAGTGGATACAACCAGACACAGATCGCATTCATCAAGTGTCTGTACATGTGTGTCAGTGTGTGTGTGTGTGTGTGTTTGTGAGAGAGAGAGAGAGAGAGAGAGAGAGAAAGTGAGAGACACTCAGTAAAACAGAGATAAATACAGTAAATAAAAGAACTTCAGGATCGTTCCTGAATAGAGGTTCCTCGGGACAGTTGATCTGCAGCTGTAACGGAGCCACAGTCCTGTGTCAAATCTGTAAATGACTGAAAAAAGACCATCCACTGGAGCGATTCCCACCCTCACCCTTTAGCCTCGTAAACTTGTCCATTTCATCACCAACATTCTTCTTCTTTCCTAACATCTCTCTTCTGTCTCTCACATCCAACAAAAAGCCTAAACATTTTTGAAAGAGCCGACTGGTGAAAGCAGGTTTTAGCACCGTTCTCCAGTCATATTGACAACAGCTGATGTAAGGATGATAGTTGATGCAAAAATCCCTTCGAGGCCTTAAAACTTGAGTTTAGTGGACATTTTAGGAAAACTAATCAGAGTATGGCTCCGATGAGATTGTTCCATCCATCCATCCACCATCCAACCATCCATCCATCCATCTCATTTAGCTGCACTTTCCTGATCTTCCTACAGTAATATTTATTTCTGCCCTTTGACCTTTGCCCCTTATTTAAGAATTGAACAAACAATCTGAATCTAACATCTCCTTATGCCAAGCATTCGTACGAAAGTGAAAAAGTTCAAGTGATTTATTTGTCACTGTGACACAGCACACCACTGCACACCACAAAACGTGACCTCTTATTTTACCCATCACCACAGTGGGCAGTGTGGAGACGGTACTATACTCAGTGCGCCTCAGTGGCTGGTGGATTCGAACCTTTTGGACTCAGGTCCATATCCTTAACCACCAAGCAGCCGCTCATTTAACCATTTATTCTAGAATGGCATTAATTTAAAGATACTAAAACTGCAGCACATCCTCTGGACAAGTTCTATTTTGAGAAGAATATGAGCAGTTCATGTTTATATAGGCGTGTGTGTGTGTGTCAGTGTCAGTATGTCTGCAGAAAAACATAGTTCATTGCCCTGGGGGACATTAGTCATCCATGACCTCTGACCCTCTTCCCCTCAAACGCAGAATCATGTTTTCTGCGGCACTGAGTTTGTCAGTGATGACATGAAAGCTGCAACAACATCTGAAGTGATGATGAAAACAAATCTTTATCAGTGACACTTCCTGTCTCTTTGACAAATCTTAATATCCCTGTATTTGTGTTGAAGAAAATTCCTCTGGAACACTAACACGGATTAAACTGATGAGTTTGTTTGCTGCTCTGAACGCCACGAAAGATGTTTTTGTGGATTATGTTTGTTTGGAATGTGTACAGAATCCCAGAGCGACACTGATACTAATGTAAAACAGAGATGAGCGATAACTCTCTGAGGCAGGGAGCGTGCGGGGTGAGGAGAGGGAGGACTTTAGAGGTGGGGGTAAAGTGAAGAGTAAAATAGGTGAGAAAAAACCTTTCGTTTTCATTATATAGACGAGTGGAGGGTTAAAAAAAAGGAATCAAGTCAAACACGTCAAATACAAATACTTGACATCACATGTCAGTAACTACACACATAAATGACACTAAGTTCAGGTTGTATTCACACTGATCCTGTTGACTACCAACAAAGGTAACCTTAAAGCTATTTATAGCTTTAAGAAATCTTGGCCTTAGGGTTTTCAAACTGTGGTACAAGTACTTGGGCTCCGTTTACTAGCTTTTGCTTTTCTGTTGTGATGAATTATGTGTTTTCCCCAAAAATGTGATCCCCACATTTAAAAAAAACCACTGACGTCCACGCAGCCATGAATGTGTCACACTGATGGAATCACAGTTTCAGGGAGAATCTGTAGGACGAGGCCCAACCTCAGAGAACAAGGGCCGGAACCTGGGCCAATAATAAAGAAGAACTGAGGCTAATTTCACTGAACTGGAGGAGAGTGAAGATCCAATGAGACCAGTCAAACCACACTGTCATACCACACCCTCAGAGAGGAGTGTGTGTGTGTGTGAGAGAGAGAGACAGAGGAGAATCAATTCCTTCTGTTTGTCTTGTGTGTGTGTGTGTGTGTGTGTGAGGGCCCCTCATGCAGGGTCTGCTGCACACACTAACAGTGTTGAGGCCAGTCACACACATGCACAGAACACAGCACCTCCTCACCACATGGGACCCCGTAAATCACTCACAGGTCAAGACAAATTTTTTAAGACCAGCTCTCACCCAGGTTTTCCCTCCAGAGACCCCCCCCCTTATATACACACACACACACACACACACATGCCACCCCCCACATTCTCCCTCACTCAAGGAATGTACCTCCCTTGTCTCACGTTGAATTCCCTTTCAAATAATATTTATTTTTCTCTCCTGTACATCAGTAAAGACCTGCATCTATTTTCCATTCACTTTCCTGTTGACTTTATATCTCATTTCCATCATATTTGGCTGCAGTGGGTCTAGACCGACCTTCAATCAGTTGCAGCTCTCTCCGCTCAGCCAACAGGCTGCAGCGGCTGCACTCACTGAACTGCCTGTCAGTTCCATCCAACAGCGGCTAATGAATCACCAAAAGTGTCTTTTCTTCTCGGAGCTGCAGAAGAAGGATTTGATTTAATGATGGTTTTTGTTGTTCGCGTTTCACAGACAAGGAATTAAAACCTGGTGAAACTGTAATTCTTTCAGTAACCACATGTTCTGAGGATAATGGAATCACAACTATAACTCAGTCTAAACCCGTCATATCTTGCTTTAGAACGACTGAAGACAGCTGGTTTGTGCTAAGCTAACACAGACATCCTCACCTGCACAAAGTCGTTTCTGGAGGAAAAAAATTGAGAAAAAGAAAAAACTTGGACACGAGATGATGACTTTCACAACTGACGTAAAATATTCCTTAACATTATAATGCATGGAAATTAATGGATATTTTTGGAATTTCTAATGTTGCATGTCATATTTGATCCCATGTTAGCGTGGGCCGTACTTAGAGTTTTGTTCAAAAGGTTGTGGGACTCTTTGATGACATCTTACTGAATGTACTCTATCTTTCTACACTCTTGTTTCTGTTTATATTATGAGAGTAACCTCAGATACAAGAATGAGGACTAACTTTGTAGTTCTCACACCACCTCCACGGATCTGTTGCCAGGATCTGCAGTAACCACCATTCTGATTGGTCAGTCCTCTCACTGTAGTATAACAATAAAACTTTGACTTTGTCACATGTAAAATATGTCAGGCTTCCCCTAAATTAGGTCACACTGGAACTGGACCCATGGGAAATGTCCACTATCATCTCAGATGTCATGACGAGACCAAGTGCGAATAAGAATACTGTAGTTCTTCAGTACCAGGGCAGGGTCAGCCCAAAAACCACACAAACTAGCCTTAAATGTTTTCAGCATTTGTCGGTGAATCTGTTTTTCATCCTCCTTTAGGAAAGAAACTTCCAGAACATGCGTAAGACACTGTATGTGCAAACAGTACCTGACAGATAATGGAGTGAACCAGCAGAACTCTGTCTGTGTGTAAATATATGTACACATATATACCTCTCATCAGACCTGGTTTCTCCATCTCCCTGGTCTCTGCAGTTGCCTGGTAACACTGTTGGTTTTGGCTCCAGAACAACACAGTATTTTACATTCTGGGTCCAAATGTTTTTTTCTAAACTACTTACACTGGAAGCACATTTGGCCCACAGAGGCTGACTCTACCAAATGGCCTTTACGTCCATTTATTATGGCTTTTTAAAATACAGTACTGTGCATCAGTCCAACCACCTCTGGTTTACATGTTTTACCCAACATGAGCTCTAAGGTCAAATTGTTTGAATTTCACTCATGTAAACTTACATTTAGTTCGCACAACATCAGTCCATGGCTTGCGGGCTGGACATCTGACCCACTGATCATGACCAGTAACACATATAGGGTTTTACTTTGATGCAAAGCTGCAAAGGAAAGAAATGTAGATGTTTTCAAATTAAATCTTTACGTTATTTGAGTATTCCTCTTTAGTGGTGGTCTAATAATGGGTCTGTATCCACATCCTGCTTTTTCCACACATTTGAACAGTGAATACCAGCAGAACACAAAACACTTATACTCAGTAATCTGTCCTTAGCTTCAGGGTGCTCACAAATGAGCCTGGATTCAAACTGAAAGCCCTCTGGTTTGAGGAATGCCAACTGAGCCGCTGCCACAGGAAGTAAGAACACCCCGCAAAACCCACACATAGAGTGCCCTCAGTCCAACCAGGGTGTGAAGCAGGAACACTGGTACTGTTCCACACTACTGCTGTGCTGTATCTGAAGGGAAAATGACACATTTAAGCTTGAGCAAAAAACTTCAAATTTCAGACTTTGCTCCTGAACCCCAAACTCTGACATTGAACTCCTCAGTACTCCAAAGTACTTCATACTGTACTGTTGATAGTTCACTGTCCTCCATCTGGACCAATGTCTGCACATTGTGTCTGTTTGGAGATGTTCCTCATTTTAATGTGACCCACAAAGACATGTTTCCTGTTTTTGACCAGCTCAGTGTTAGGGTGGTCTTGTTGATGTGAACGTCTGCACATGTGCACAGCAAAAGTAAAGAAGGTGTAAACAGACGCCCAGTTACCACATACAGCAACGAGTGAGAATAAGGACTGTATCTGCCCTTGTCCTGCTCTATAGACAAGCCCTACAGCATTTAGCCGCCGTGTGGCCCAAGCTCAGGTCTAAACATCGGAAGAAGGTCGGAGATACGGCTCAGGCGGACAATCACACGTGTCATAGCTGTTCACACACATACATGCCAACTCCACACAGAAGGATCTGAGACTGAACCACCATACTTTCCGCTATGTAGCCAAAACACAGTGTTTTTCTGTATAAATAATGAGGAGGAGGAGTCACTGCTTCATCAGTTGAGGGTTGTTAGAGAGCTGCAAATTAAACATTAAGGAAGCATGACACTGTTTTTTTAATCCAAATGACTTAGGTCATAAAGAAATACTGGATATACTGTATTATGATGTTTCAAAAATGGTAAAAATCAAACCTGAATCAAACTTTCTCTCTCTCCCCCATCAGCAGGATGTCAGTGAAGCTGCGATTTGACTCTCCTTCCGACAGCGGTGTGATTCCCAGGAGCCGCTCCTTCACTGGTTTCACCTCTCTGAACGCACGACGACGGTGAGTGACAACCATTCAGACAATGGGTCTGGAACAACAGTAAAGCAGATGGGAGTTTTCATCACATGACCTCAACAAGACTGTTATAGAATGTTATATTTTTAAGTCTTACTGGATAAATGCCCCATTTATTCACAAACAAATAATGCGGCATCTAGTGGAGAAAAGTCATAATAAAAAGGGCCCGAAAACACTGACTTTTATCCCAGAAAAGACAGAAATCCCTTCTGAAATATGGCGTCAGTGCAGGTTCTCCATTATAAATACATGCAGTCAAATGGGGGAGTTAGACAAACATAACATTCAATCAAGAGGAGACATTGGAAGATACAGTATGACAAAAATGTGACCACGTGAAGAAGACAATCAGTCACCAGCTTGTGGCACAACGCGGTAATACACTACATGACAAGAAACTGACAGGGATCAAAATGTCACCATCTCACAATACTAATGAATTGGGCAAGATGGTCATGTGACAGCTCCAGTACGGCTCCTCCCAAAATATCTACAACACTGTTGTAATTAATCACTTCATACACGTGAAAAATCATCTGCGTTGAACAACATAGCTAAATAAAAACAGAATGTTGTTTGATTCTGGAGAATACGAGGATGAAAAGAAACTCTGGGAAATGGTAGTTGTTGACAGATGTTGTCCTCATGTCGTCTTCTGTGAGTCTTTAAATGAAATTATTTACTGTATAGTCAGTCATTGTGTTTTTTAAGATTTAATACAGTAACAAAAAGTGTCATTTGCCTCATGGGGGGAATATATTGGGCAAATCTGTGAGATGTGTGTTTGTTAATGGGGAAGAGACTGAGAAGAAAGAACAAAATGTCAAGTTAAAAAAGGGCATTTACTGGAATGTACTTCCTGTTTGTGTGTTTCAAAGTCTCTCACACACACACCAAACGTGCGTGCACACACACATGGGCAGTTATCCCACAAATTCTAGAAAAAACCCTTTTACAGCCAAGTCCATACATTGTGTACACTGACATTTTGTAGTCGTTAGATACATACACAATATCTATATGTTACATATAGAGACACATTGATATTTGTCCTGTGTATTTCAACCATCAACCCATTCCATATCTTTATCCCTGCTCTAAGATGACCCTAATTCAAATCCAGGTCCAAAAAAGACTTTAAACCTTGAAAACACACTCACTCAATGAGAGCTGCAAAGTGTCCCCACAATTAGAGCTATACCAGACTACACACACACAGCCAGTGGAACTGCTGTTATAAAAGATGTTTGATGGTGAAGGAAACGTGAAAAGGACTAGGGTTCAAACACACACACACACACACACACACACACACATTCCAGGAAAAGCCTTTTTGTTTTTACAGCCAAGTCCATAATTACATCTTAGAAAACCAGAGGTTTATTATGAGAGACAAATGAATTTAGTGTTAATTCCACTGGATTTATGTGGTGTTTCTCAGACCTGGCAGCTTGTTAGTCAGAGACACTACAGCTGCATGAAAACCTGAGGCATTCAAGACTGGAGTAAAGTAATTACTTCAGTCTTGAATGCGACAGATTTAGAAAATGTCGTTGAAATGTTAAAGTGATTTTTTTACAAAACAACATGAGGATGTTTCAGTGGTACAGTATTTACCTTGTGAATACAGCAGCCACAATGGGTCAATTGTTTCCCTTATAGATTTATTTCTGCAAGAATTAAAGCCACAGATTTAATGACGGTCTGCTTTAGTTGTTTGTTTGTTTTTTACCATGTTTAATTCCTATTCTATTTAACTGTATGACTGGTTACACTGGGAAATAACACTGTAACTTTGTTGTACGATGTTTTGCTGCTTCAACGATTCTGATTCTACTCAGGGCCTGTTGACATTCCTGTCGAGTACATGGGGATATATTTGTGACTGTAAAGACAGACAGGTGCTTCTACAGCATCACTCATTCTAAATCATCTTTGTCACTGTCTCTTTAGAACGTCGTCGATGAGGAACTCTCTTCGTTCTAAATCGACATCAGGCAGCAAACCTAGGATGCACCTGTCTCCTGTCAGGGGGGGAGGAGGGAACTGGTCTCTGCAGCCGGAGCAAGTGGACAGGGTTTTTCAGGCGCTGCGTAAAGGACTCAAGTACGTAGACCAGAGGGAATTTACATTGTTGTGGAACTACTGCTGTGATTCACCTGCAGTAACTGTGACCAACTCAACAGTGTACAAATTCACAACAGATGGAAAACTCTGAAAAAAAAAAACTGACTTCTTTAGGAAACTACAGTCTGAGAGACCCATCAAGATGAACAGTTGACTCTATGAAGCTACATTTTCACTTATACCTTTGTATATTTTTCTTGGCATTATTCCATTGTAATAATGCCATTATTTGGATTAGTAATTTAGTGATATTTTGGAATTTTAATTTATCTCTATAAATCATGATTAATTGTAGTTAAAAAGCATCTACACTGTGATTAATCAGCCCTTGTAACTTACGAGTGCCTTTAACACAGAGATATAATAAACCTGTCCATTTCTGCGTAGTTGTCACGGCAATAACAATAAACATGCCGTAAAGTGTGGCTGTTTAACCACTGATAACTTTTGGATTTCCCGGTGAATGCAATGATTCTGTGATGTGACTGTACACAGACAGTATCTGGAGGGTCACCAGGCTGAGATGGACTTCCTGGTGTCACAGCAGAGAGAGACCAAGAGGAACTCCAGACTGGTGAGGAGACAGGATGGGGGAGGGGCTGAAAATAAACTTAATGTATTTTCACTTGTCATGAAGCCAATGATGTAATCAATGACAACAGTGATGGTGATGATGTCATTTCTTTGTTTGCAGGCCTTTCTCTACGATCTGGAAAAGGTAATCTCTTTTCACCGTGATGTAAAATCCTTCATTAATCAGTATAGATCCAGAAGAAGAAGGGACATCAAAGGTTTCCTCTGTTTGTTCTCACAGGAGATCAGAGCACTGGAAAGACACATACGGCGCCTAGAATTTCAGATTAGCAAGGTAACTGTGGAGGTTTGAATGGAGAAGCTGATGAGATTCTCGTCAGTCAAACTGATGATGTGAAAACTATGCTGCTGGTTCACTGATCACTGATCGATCCGTTGCTGTTCCTGACCTCCCTGCAGGTGGATGAGCTGTATGAAACCTACTGCATCCAGTGGAGGTTGTGTCAGGGGGCGGTGAACATGAAGAGAGCCTTCTCTCTGTCCCCATCCACCAGAGCCTCCAGGGACAGTCTGCTGGAGCTCAACCGTAACCACAGACACAGCCTGCAGGTGCCGTTATTACTCAAAATGACTACAAACCAACTATAGCAGTGGTTCTCAAACTGTGGTACGTGTAACACCAACGGTACGCGAGTGCTCTCTAGTGGTACGTGGGGAAAATTCATATTTTCACATTTACATTTTCAATTGAATAAATCTGAAACATACCAGGCACAGTTTATACAACATGTAAACATAAACATCTTTCTGTTTATGTTACTATATTCTGTTTATGCTAGTATATTCTAATGTTGGTCATCATGGTGGTACTCAGAGAGCTCAGTGTTTTCTCAGGTGGTACAGAGTAGAAACAGTTTGAGAACCACTGAACTTTAGCATTTCTTCAAACATAAATGACTTTGCCATAACTCATATTTTTATTCAAGTTGAATTGTTAGAGCTGGAGAAGTGGCAAGAAAGTTGCTGGTTTGTGTCCTGACTCAGAAACTCAATGTCCAGTTGTTCTGTTTTTTTCCCACGGTCCAAACACAACAAGTCCAAGAAAAATGACCAGTATCATAAAAAGGCATAAAATTTATATGTGAATTGTAAATAGTGCGGGACTTGCAGCTGTGACCACTTTTGTCAGACAGTAAACCAAACACGTACTCACAGAGGCAGTGTAAGAATCTCCTTCTCATCCCCATAAAACAGAAGATTTTGTTGCCGCCTATAAAACCAAACTGTGTCGTTACCACAGAAGATGGTTGACGGTAGATATTGGATTTTCAGTGATATTTAATAAGTAAAAGTTTGTCAGTGACAGATCTTGGATGTGGTCGTCCATCATCTCCACAGAGCTGAAGGCCCGCAAATGGTTTAACTGCTGCCAAAAGAAATAATGTGGTGTGTGAGTCACTGCCTCACACTGACGTTGCTGTTTGTAGCCACAGGCTAAGAATCAACTGGAGACAACTCATTCATTCAACCTCTCCTGTTTACGTGTCTGTCAGTCGTACAGCACATTTCTCTGTAGCTTAATTCTTTACATCTGGTTTTGATCTTCTTTCCTCTTATTTATTTACTTTTCTCCTTCATAAGATCCCATTAAATCAAGGGTCTCAAAATCTGAAGAGGTTAAGACGTAGGCCACTGGACTGTCTTGACTTTAGAAGACAAAAAAGGGGTCTTCGGCTCTGTTGCTTCTGTAACTTTGATATGAGTTTCAGCATAAATCATTCTTTCAGACAAAGTCTCTTTTTTCCGTCCGTGTAAAGAATTCCGTCTTCACCTAGTTTTCTTAGATATCGTGTGGTGGAGAGTTGTCCATTCTTCGTATAATTTATTTATTGTCCTTACTTTTGTTGCGTTGAGTTGTCAGGTACTGAAATGGTGTTCTTTATTATGTATCTGAAACATTAGTAAAAACACAGCCGGTTCCCTGTTTTTGTTGCCTTTGTCATGAATTGAACTAGCAATTGACATTGTGCTGGGATTTTGCTCGAGTTAAACACAGAAACCCACAAAGGCTCCAGTGTTGGTGCTCAGTACATGAACATGACCTTTAACATCAGTGTGAACAGGCGTTAGGTGAAAAGGCATTTATCCAAAGATGAATGGATTTTCTCTAACATTCCTCTTCTAACCGGTCGCTCCTCTCTGCAGGACATGTCTGCAATGGAGGGAGAGCTGGAAATCCTTCTTGGAGAGCTACACATCAAAATGAAAGGTGCATACACACACTCTGACATACACACACAAACATATACACAGTAGTTGAAGTAGTATCAGAGCCCAGTGTGTAGCTCATGGGTTATTTTCTAATTATTGAACATGTGTTGTGTGTTTGCAGGTCTGATCGGGTTTGCTCGACTCTGCCCTGGAGACCAGTACGAGGTGAGTTTCCTTATGTTTATGTCAAAAGACATAAAACAGATGTGGTTGACAAAAAATTTTTTTTTTAGCTAAATCAGTGACGACACTAGAGACAGAAGCTGATTTTAAACCGATAAGGGCGTCGTCCTTGTCTTTCTAGAAGGTTCTAGATGTTCAATCTAATCTAATCCTGAAGCAAAATAGCACCGTCTTAATCGGTAAACATGCAGATGAGGTTATATTTGTTGTATTTGAATCGTGTCACATGACCAGGTGGTGGTGCAGCTGGGTCGTCAGAGGTGGAAGATCAGAGGCAAGATCCAGTCTGACGACACACAGTCCTGGGATGAGGAGGAGATGATCTTCCTGCCTCACATATATCACAACTTTGAGATTAAGGTCAGCAGATATAACAAGAGTGGACAACGAAACAATTAAAAAGATAAAACATTTTCACAACTAAAAAGAACGGGCTATGTGTATTTTAGAATACTTATATTTTATAGTCCTGTTTAACTGGTATAGTTGTATATTTATCTTTGTTTTCCCATGTTCCCTCATATTATCTAATATAGTTCAACACTATAGTAATACTCATGTATAGTATGACTCAATACTTGCTGCCCTTTGTCAGGTGATGGAGGCCAAGGGTTTGGGTTGGCTCCTGGTTGGCATGGTAACATGTGCGAGTGTGGACTTTTTCGTGGCGAGGCCGCAGCTGATGTTGGTGGACATCACGGAGCTGGGAACCATCAAACTGCAGCTGGAAGTCACTTGGAAGTAATAATGCACTGACCTCACATTCACACTCTTGTCAAACACCGACTGTCTGTGGAAATGTTAGTTTTGTTGCTACCACAAATTCGGCATACTGTGTGTGTATTCTCGCGGCTCCGCTTCCCCCCATAAAAAGTGGATGATTGACAAAAAGGTTCACTGTGCTCATTCCGCTATAAAACAAATGTGCCCAGGAGCTGAGAACGATGCACAGAGTGAACTTTCTTGTCATCCAGCATTTTTATAAGCAAGAGACAAGGAAAACAAACACACATGCACATGGCAATATATCAAGGCCAGCAAATTTATTAACTTCATTTTCATTTATTGCTCGATTAATGGATTTATTGATCATCATCCCAGGCCTAACTCCATGTTGTGTTCACAAATTTGGTTAATAAATCAGATTCTGAAATGTTTCCCACACACATGTCACTGTTCAACTGTTCAATCAGTGACACAAACACACACACAGCAGTTGAAGTATGCGCCTGAGGTACTCACAGTACTGCGTCAAGATGGTCAATATTCAAACACTGAAAACAATTGCATATTCTACATATCATACTGCAGAGAAACCTATTAGAGAAAAGAGAGCCATCTGCAGTATTTTCACGCCTTTCTGTATTTTATGTGCTAAAACGCATGACTGACAGGTGCAGCTGCTCCATAAAATACTGATTCAATTTTTTTTTTCACATTCCTTTCGGAAAACAAAGACAGTAGACAATAAAGTATTTTCTGTCTCTCGTGTGTAATAATGACATTCTTTCATAACAATGAAATGAGTTTCCATATGTAAAAAGCCAGTGACAACAAGAACAACCTGCTGTTTTCTTCATTCTCTACCATTTTTTTAAAATAAAAAACATTTTCTTCAGCTCTCATTCACAACAGTCACATCCCAGAGAACAATGTCGTACTTGTTTCACACAATCTTGTGTTGTTTTTTCCTCCACTTGATTTTTAAAGCCTCTGACAGCATGAAAGTTGCCACATGTTCTCGGCAGTCAAACAACAAAGACGGTGAAGTGCTGGATTATTTTAACCCGACAGAGAGACAAACTCCACAATCTGCTGCTGCTGTCTTCGTCCTCCACCTTCTCAGTGCCTCTAATCTCAGCCAGCTGTCACTAAGCAGCTGATTGACTGCAGAGTGCACATTTCGCACAAAGCTTTGAAAACGTGCACAAACACATTTGAGTATTTTCCCCTGGTCTCGCAGCAGGTACAGATGTGAATAAGTCCGCAAAAAGTTCAAAAAATGCCAATAAAATGCAGCGATACTGTGTGGAAACTAACAACACTGGAAGTTAGGACTTTATAAATACCAAGTTGTGGTCATACAGTGGAGTATGGAGTATTACTTAAATTGTACAGGAGGTGGTGTTGTCAAGTTTGTAAATGTTTGTGACACGAGTGTTTTTGCATCAACAGCCCATTTGACAATGCTGAGAAGATGAGGCCACTGTCTGTGAGCAGACTCTCAGTATCCAGCAGGAAAGGTTCAGTTTACAGTTGGACAGCACCAAGTACACCCTCCTTCACTGAGAAGTATTACATAGTGAGTATACACAGACACACACATGCACACACACTACTCTTCTGTGCTTTCTAAGCTCCACATAGACAATACATAGCCCTCGACTCTAACCTTAATTCAAATCTTAACTAAATCTTGAACTTCATAATACCTCACTCACAAGTAAATATATAATTACAAAATGAACATGTCATTTTTGTGACATTGTTTTCCTTGTCAGTCCCTGATGCGTGAACTGCGAAACCAAGAAGAAGGTTCTCTCCCGTCACTTGTGTCTAAGAATCACCACAACAGAGGAGGTGTGTCTTTGCTCGGCTACCTGTCCAACCCTGTCCACGGCTCCAACAGTCCCTACACCCCCAGGTATGTAGTCAAGTCATTATATAACTATAATTAGTGTCACAACATTTGACTTTGGTATATAGTTATAGCATATGTTACATCGCTGCCCAAATAGAGCATAGAGTGTATGTGTACAAAATACATATTATAATACAAAGTATAATAATTCTTTCACAGTCTAACACGGGCCTATAGCTTCCCCTTCAGTCCCAGTCAGGGACCCAGTCTGGTGGGGAGTCAGACTCAGCTCTCCATGGGTGAGGAGGGATTCATGGACAGCTCCATGGAGGAGAGTGAGAGAACAATGATGGATGAGAAGAAAGATGAGGAAGAATGGACTGGAGTGATGGAGAGTCCAAAAACAGCAACAGAAAGGACCACAGGACCGATACGTGCCCTGCAGAGGTGACACCACCGTCGTAGTTTTGCTGATGAAGCCTTTTCAGTTGGCTACAAGATTTTAAGTGTTATAGTTGTGTTACTTACGATATTAAAACGTTTGTCCTGTTTTCACTTTTCTCTCATTATGACATGATTGTTTTAGAGCAGGGCTGTGAAACTGATTTATGAAATTAAAAAATAGAAGAAATAGCACAACGCAAAGTCAGACAGTAGTTCTTAGCAATATAACCTGTTACGTGCTGAGGCCAAACTGACGCCACACACTCTTGCTGCTTGGGTGGTATTGTCTCTTGTTCGGCAACTGAGTTATGTTACGACAACCGGGGCAATTTTTTTTTTTTTTTTTTTGTTGATTGTACCAAATATGAAAAATACATTTAATTTTTTTAGACGCCCCTGTTTTTGAACATGTGTTAGATGAGATAATGAATTAAGCTGAAAACTGAGGATACGATGTTGATATGTGTTGTGGCGTGTGCACTGCACTAAGTCAATAAACAGAGAACTAAATGAAGGTAACAGTTTTTTTCTAAATGGCCTGTACACGAAGGCCTTTGTCTATACCTGTGCTAACATTCATAGCCAGTAGCTCCAGAGTTTACAGATCAGGGAACTGACTGGTTTGTAGCTAAAGTCAGAGAGGAAAGGTCGAGACAGGTTGGACATGAAGGAAAAAGGAAAACAGGAAGACCAACAAGAAAATCCAAGGATAAAGGACATGAAGATGATGATGTAACTGTAGAGCAGGCAGGCATTTGGTGAGATGGAGAGCAGACAGCCGACAGAAGAGGAAGTAGACCGTGTATTTTCTACTCTACCTGCACTACCACTTAAAACCATTCACTGCTGCAATCTGTACTCCCTTTAACGTAACCCCAGTGATGTATTCCTCTCTGACACAGGTCCAGTACTCCTGACATCCTGAGAAAAAACATGGCTGCAGACTCAGATACTGAGGCACAGAGTAAAGCAATGGAGCAGGTAAAAAGCCTCAGAGCCTCCCGTCCCACTGATCAGCCCTAAAATTAAAACTAGTGACATGTAAAATGAAAAACTATGTAAGTGGTTCATAGTATCTTAAAGGAAGTGAAGCAGGGAAAATTGGCAAGTGTAAGGACCTCAACAAAATCATGAATCATTTCCTGTTTCTATCAGGATTCTCATGATTCCACCCCAGCCTCACCCTCTGAGACTCCTGCTGCCTCTCCTTCTCCATTCACAATGACTTCTCCCACATTGGGGAGATCAGGAATGAGTGGTGCTCAACGCAGGGCCCAGGCCCTTAGGCTGGGAAGCCTGATCTCTGAGCTGGAGAAGTTATTACAGAATCAGAGTCTGTCAGAAAAGGAGTTGAGAACCCTGGATCACCAGATACTACACCTGGCCACCATACTTAAGGTAACTGACTATAAATACAATGGTGTGTTTTAGTCAATACCCTCAGAGATGTCCCCAGAGCTTCTTTCAAAACTTCAGTGAAGTCGTTGTCCTCCACAGAACAACCTGTCCCTGTTGAGACGTTCCTCATCAGAAGAGACTCTGGCTGTGGAGGAAGTCCTGGGCAGCTTTGACTTCTTGTCAAATGACATTAACGCAGATGATGACACATCCTGTTTAGGCAGCCTGAGACTTAAAGATAGTGGGTAAGTACTGGAAGAATCCAGCTTGACAAACGTGATCTAATGCAGCTCAACTGTACTTTGTTTTTCTCTTCTCCAGCCTCGGTTCTTTTCAGCAGAGCACTCTGAGGAGCCTTGGCCTTGTCTCCCAGAATAGTCAATCCGTTTCTGAAGAAGAATTGATTATTGCTCCTCTGACTTCAGGGAATTGGAGTCTTGATCAAGCTCTGGAAACCCACTTGGATTTATGTGTCATCCTTCTCCAGGTACAAACAGTTCATAAGACATCTGTTTGTTTGTCTTTTTTTTTTTTTTAAACAAAAAGGTTAGGCAGATACAGTGTGCTAGAGTAGGTATGTAAAAGGCTTAAAAACTTCATGTCACGTCTCTGACAACTTCAGAGGAAAGACTGCTATGAAATGTCACTGCAGAGTGGAGGAGCTCCAATCGAGGCACTTGGTGGAGGTCCTAAGGAGTGTCAACCCATGGTTTGCTGTGGATCTCCAGTTTATTCAACCTTAAACATTAACTTACAGTTGCGTTTCAAAGCCATTCTGTGTAAAGTTCTAAGGCGTTATGCAACATGTCTGCAGATGTTAAACAGATGGCTGTTCCATGTAGGATTGGCGTCAAAAAATGAACTTTGAACCTCAAATTTTCACTGAAATTGATCCTAGTGGCCCCGGCTTTGAGATCGGGTTGATATAAAACCCTTGTCTTGGATGGAGCCACAATGTTCCATTGGGTTGTACTGTTATTCTAGATCAATTAAAGATATACTTTTCAGTGAACTAACGAATATGCTTCTTGTATTTCTTTCTAATTTCTTATTTCTTTCACAGATGATACGAGTGACCGACTTCACCCCCTCAAGGAGAGACCTGCTGGAAGAAATGTCTCTTCAGGCTGAGGTTCTGGACAGAGTTAGTTACCTGCTGCTGGAGAAGAACGATAATATTTCTGCTTGTGATGGTTGGTTGAAAATTCACGATTAATTCCATTTATAGAGTTTTGGTTAAAAAAATGCTATCCCTATTTTTCACCTACTGTTTGATTTTTTTCAACAGTACTTCCTAAGGCCCACAGAATGAGAGATATTCTGTTGTTCTGGGAGGACTGTGTGAGCGACAGCAGTTCCTTTTTCTCTTGCGACTCCATCAGCTTCACAAGGGCACTGAGGAAACGTTACACGCACAAAGTGAAAGCCAAGCAGCCTGGCCAATCAGAAAAAGGTAGCTCAGCAACTTCATTCTTTAATGTTGACCGTTAAGACAGCCTGTTCAGACAGCACTACGAGCAGATAAGAATTAAGGTCTGTGTCCTCTCTGCAGTCTTTGCTCAGCTTCTGCAACAGGTGCAGGCCACGAGTCCCATTGTGCCAAGCCCTCGGCAGGTCTGCAGCAGAGACAGAGTCACTCTCTTACAAATGTCTGTGTATCTGAAACGCTGGAGCATCCAGAACATGGGAGATCACATCTCACGTCTTTCCAAAGAAGGTATGAAACCCAGCCAATGGTATGAGGTAGACAAACATTTATTCTAAGGAAGGGGTGTCCTTATTTCTTCCGGGGGGAGTAATACTGTAAAACACTGCAGAGACCAACTGACCTCACTAGAAACAGGGCCTATACTGGGTTCCCTCACGTCCTGGAAAACCAATGACAATTATAATTGCTCCAGGTGACCTACAAAGTTGTTTCTTCTTCCGTATTGTGAATAAATGCACGTGGATTATAAGTAACAGAACGTCTGTCTGGTGTTCTGTTAAGTGGTTCTGCAGTATGGCTTTTTGATCACATTTTTCTTGTATTTTTAAATGAAGTAATAAAGTTGTATTGCTTTTTGTGAGTGTGTTAAAGATAGTTTTTATGGTTTAGTCGTGTGTTATTTTAATTATTTTTCAGCTGAAAATGTGAAGGGACATTGTTAAGGGATACTTTGAAGGAAAAACATGGGAACTTTTCTGAAGGTGCAGTGTATTAAAAAATGAGATAAGAGAACATGTTTCATGTTTGAAATCAATTAGAGATGAATCATAGCCATTGTCCAATTAGACCATGAGTTGCTTGACTTTAAAACATGTGAAAATGGGACATAATTAAACATGTGTTGATTAGGAGATATGTTCCTTCACTTCTGTATTTATGTACAGTGAGTGTGAGTGTACGTGAGTGTTTTGCATTTGAGTAATGTGTCTCTGCTGTTAGTTCATCTAGGGAGGCACAAAATTTGAAAACATTCCAGGAATTCCAGCGTATTAAAAAAAATCTGGACCATCTGTCAATGTTACTGTCACTTTGTAGTTGGTGTGTGTGTGTGTGCTGCTTTTTCGGGACAATTCCTGGCATTGTTGCTTTTTTATGGCCAGTACTGAGTCTCAGACTCTTTTGTGATGCTTTGGTTAAAGTCAGGATGTAGAGTTTAGTTTGTTACAAATAAATTTAAATCATTGTAAAGTAAAACATCTGTTTGTTACAAATAAATTTAAATCATTGCAAAGTAAAACATCTTATGAAGTTTTCCTGGTAGGGTAAGTCAACTTTAGTAAAATGAATTATGTCTATATAAGAGATAAAAGGGTATCGATTAAGCTCATGGTGTTAATATCTGTTTAAACTATTGTCTACATTTGCACAGCATGTGTGAAACATCTGAAAAACAGATTTGGGGTCTTACATTTATCCAAGGACTAGTCAGAGCTCGAATAAAGCTGGCATATGATTTTACTGCACTTTGAAACACAAAATAGTGGACTTAAAAATCAAGGAAAATCAAATAAAAATTGTAATCTTAGATCAGAGATAAAAGAACAAGCTGCCATTGTGATCGTCTGATTTTCACTCTTTTCTCAGAACACATTCTGTCTGCCCTGAAGAGCCCCAAACGACGGCGAGCACTAAACAAAATGAGGGGGAGGACCTTCTCAGAGCTCCTTCCACTTAGATGTACACTGCACACTATCGCTGCCCTGCAGGTCGACCCCAACCACAAAGTTTGCAAAGCTGCTACCACCTGTCTGTACAGAGCTGCAAGCTGCGAGGCCTTCAGGAGCAAGGTACAGGAACCTGGTACTCAGATACAACTGGTTCATTTCATACAGCTAAGTACAAGACTGGGTGCTTTATACGACTGATCACATTTATCCTGGATATTGTTTTGTCGTTCTTCTGGACTTTTTCATTCCCTTATTATTAAGGGCGTTCTTCTGGACTTTTTCATTCCCTTAAAGGAAGCTTATTATTTAGGGGAATGATTTTCACAGTTGACCCATTTAGGAAACACCACAGTGAGTGGGAGAGTTTTTGATAATTGCTGAATACAGCATGTTCTGCCATGACCGGGATTACAACCCACAATATAGCTGCCCAAAAACCCTAGTATGAATTACTATTTGGGCCGGGTATTCTTATGAATCTTACAATTTAATATAATTTTAATTCTTTATGTCACAAGTTAAACTGATGAGTCACCTTATATTTTCATATAAAGCATCAGCACAATCATACTAATACTAAATATGTTGCACAAAAGCAAAAAAAAACTATGACAGCACCCACACCTGCCAGGGGTTATTAATTAACCAGACAATCAACATAATTGCCATATATGGAACAATATAAAACAGCAGAGTGAGGAGACAGAAAGGCAGAAAACAAGACGGAGGAAAACTGACATTGAGGTGTTAGTGTCTGATGTTAACAGTGTGAAATGTCTTTGTGTTCCGCTTCTTCTGCAGGCAGTTATTTACTACACTGAGAGTCTGAAAAGCACTGACACTCAAATCCAGCAGAGCTCCTGTCTGGCTCTGAAATGCCTCCGGGTGAGTGACAGACATCACAACACCCACATACTCACAGACATGTACTGTAGTTTCTATCAGCAAAGATTCTTTACACACCTGCTTAATAGCCCTGTTCTAAAAGTTGGTTTCTTTGGTTCTTTACCTTTAAATGGTAAATGTGGGGGAGGGATTACTATGGTCACATACTTTTTGATATCATATGTACTTAGGTATTGAAACTGGAACCCATGTAGTAGACAGACACTCTGTTCCACTACAGCAAAGTCCACTCTGCACAATATGTATCGTTAAATATAATATGTGTAGATTTAGGTAAAGAAATACTTCACATGATTTAAATGTTCAAATATATCTGTGGCAGGCAACAGAGAGTGTGGACCACATTGCAGATCTGTGGAGATCAATGGATGAAGATCTATGTAGCACTGCCAGAGAGACCATCCTCTCATTTGGTACAGAGATAAATGTGCTTCTTCTCTGCATGTTATCCTTTCACAATTTTTTTTTTTTTCAAGGATTCAACTTTTTTCCTAATCCATCTGCAGGTAAAAAGGGATTCCTGGCGTTTCAGAAGATGGACCAACTCTACACTGAGATGCAAGAGGAGGCTTATCAGAACCGAGAGACTGAGATCACAATTCTATAGGAAATGTTGTGTTTGGATTCAAGTAAAGTTTTGAAATATAACAGGATGCAACGTGAAGATGACAGATGGAGTGTGAAGGAAGTTTGTGTCTGAGCTTGATGAAGTGGAAGATCCACTGAATGTATGGAGAAAGAAACATCTTTCAGGAAAACATTTGATCATTAATTTCCTGGTGGTGAGCAGTGGGCATCTGTCCCAACATGACTCCCCTCTTTCATTTACTTTGTTTAAAAGCATTACCTCCCCCCCGATCCTGTGAACATTTAAATTGCCTTTTACAAAGTGAACTGATTTCAGTTTATTGTGTAAAGTTTGTTTACAAAGAACAAAATCAGTAAACAAGATGTTTTGTTTTACAGCACCATGTACTTATTTGACCAGAATGTGTGGGATTTTTACAATATGGCTTAATGTGCAAACATTGAAAACATTAAAGTAAGTTTTTATAACTGTGTGATAAAAGAAGTAACACCACATTTTTCTTAGAAAAGCCAATAAATCCAAATACCAACATTAACAGTCTTAGTGGACACTGTGGATATTTTATTTATTTATTTATTTATTATTATAAAAACAAACCCAAGCACAGAAGCTTGGCTACCGACAGATGTCAAAGAATTTATAACAGCGGCCTCCAGCAAGTGTGCATTTATAAGTATTTTTTAACCAGTGTTAATTTAGACAGCCAATTCTGATTTAGTTGTCTGACTAAATTTTAACTGTGGCCACATTATAATATATTACATCTATTATTTGGTTCGTTAATATAGTTTAAATTACAATGACACAAATTATTTAAAAAAAGAAAGAAACACACATCCAATAGTGTTGAAAGCACAAGCCCAAGGTTTACTCACTGATGGGAGAAAGTAAAAGGAATTAATGCTAAGTGCTTATTGCAAATGACACACTATAATTTAATTTCCTACCAATTCAATGTTAATTACGAAAACATTGACATAATTTAATCTACGTAGTTAAATTGTATTTACCTTTGGCGAATAGTGTCGAGTGGTTGTCTCGCATGTGGATGTATTTCCTCCTTTCACCCCATTTTCATGGTATGCATAAAATGCTGGCAAGCCGACATCCACGATGACTCACTCATTTTCTTCTGCAGCCAAAATGATCCCACACGGCTAATTTAATACACTCTTAGACGGAGTAACTCTTGCATTTCCCCCAATCAGGCCTCTCATTTCTCTCATGTGGTCCCTGCAACTTGCAGGGACCATAAACAATGCAACACGCCAGGGTTGTGTAACTTTGTTTTCGTTCCGTTTGAGTTTTGGGCTTAACTATAGTTCGTCATATTATTTTCTGACGGTATAAAGGAAACGTTACAATAAATTAACCGTAGCGCTGAATACTGCACTTAACTGTAATATCGAGTAATTGTAACATCCCGGCTTTGTACTGTATTGTTATTGTTTTGATAATCTTTCAATATAATTGGATATCCGTCCACAGCTTCCGCCCGCTGACCAAACATTGCTCTTTTTTTGGCTCTTGACAATTGTTCTTGTATGCATTACGAAATGAAGGCGTATTGAACTTCGACCTTGACAGATTGTATTCTTATTGTTTTCAATTAACATGCGTCAAAAAGTGTCATCTAGCACAACAAAAAGATAAAGTGAAAAAAGTCCACATTTAATTCCGATTACACTGAGTAAAAAAATGAAAATAATAAATCAAAACGACTTATTTTTGTACAAAAGTGAAATACTCGTGTTGTTCAACCTCTGCAGGAGTAAATATAAGACAAGAGAACGTTCATTCAAGTCATTTTATTCCACTATCCTCCACCAACGCTGGTAGTGCCCTCTGCAGTCCATTTGCGTCATCAGCAGTTTGGGAATGGCACTGACCCAATGAACACTGTGTGCTTGCAAAAGGATAAATTTGGATGTAGTCAAAACAACTGGGAACTTGTCCTACTGGGTAACCAACCTCAGTGTTTGTGAGGTCAGTGAAATGGCCTGGGAAGATGATTGTCATCAGTTAGTCTGCAGGACAGTGACCTGCTGGGTTTGTTGCGTCAACTGAGGTCACATGAGTCATGTCAACATCATCATAGAAGGGTTTTTATGTTTGCACAGGAAATGCATAACAACAACTCACTGTGAAATGGGACTATAAAATAAAAGAAGAAAACACTGAACAAGAGTGCAGGGGGAAATCATAAAGTTGTAAGATATGTTAGCATATTAAAATGTGTTATTATTACCTGGTAAACACTATTAAAGCTTATGGACAGGATTTGGTGTGGCGCACACTCATGTCATTTATATATCTATATAGACACATGTATATATATTTATATATACACATATGTTTGTGTATATATACATATATGTATGAGATAAAAGCTCTTTTTATGTTCTTTTTATGGCCCCACTGTTTCCTACATGTCATCTGAATATAGATCCCGCAACGGAGTTTGACAAAGTGAGGGGAAAAAATCTTTATTTAAATTAAAACCAAAGCAATTATGAAGCAGGGAACACATTCTGTGCAGATACAGAAAGTCAGACACACCCGAGTAGGTAGACAGTGTGAACACCTTACCTGTGACTGACAGCTTTACATAACACTTACAGCAGTGATAGAACATCTTCTGCACATCTGAAGAACAGAGAAAAGTTGGAACTATTCAGACCTTGCTCTGCCCTATATTGCTCTTTGTTGCAAAAAATACTGACCCTCCACCCCCACACACTGCTTGTTTCCAAAAGAATCACCCTTTGTTTTACAAGAATCTCCAAGTTCTGATCACAATCATCTCACATTAGACAGATCTTCCACTCAACCAACTCTTTCACAGAAACACACACACAATTATTTTATATCCTTTGGAAACTTTCAGCATTTTTCTGAATCTACTAAAATCTGAATGTGAACTTACTGTATGAAAGGTAAAAACTAAGGTCAACCCATGTGTGATTTAAAAAAAAAAATCACATCATAAGTCTTAAACAATGTTGTTTCTGAGGCAACATGAAGGAGACGAGAGGCATGCGCAGCTGCAGAGCACGCAGGGTAATAACGGGACAGTTACTCAGCAATATTACACACTATGAGGTGTGTGTGACAGAGAGAGAGTGAGAGCGGGCTGCACTGCAGCATGGTTCACAGCATGGTCATTGATTGTCCAGTGTTTTGGTGTGCTCTCAGAGTGTGTTTATAACATTGGGACTCATTCAAGCTCCATCTGCCAAGTTTCAGTGTGGGTGGGGCTTTGGCAGTCTGAGGTTGAGTGTTTCTAATAAAAGTGGAGTCTTGTAAAGTATGGGGTAGAAAAAGAATCACAGGATAATACTTCAACTTAAAACACAGCAATCACTTGACAGTCGTAGTCACCCGTTCATGTCCAAACAGTTAGGTTTTATACTGTCCAGTTGTCATTCAAAGGTTGGGAAGAAACAGCTAAAAATGTTTAACTTTCTTTCGGCAGGCCAACACATCCTTTACGTCCCCCTCCCTTGTATGTGGCATTACTTCTCTCACTTCAAATACAAGTCTTTTGTTTATTTTATTTTTTTACAGCATGACAATCAAACCACCATTACCAGCCCCTGTTAGCATCCTGCAAAATGGTATAAGAACTCCCTGAACTCATTCCAGCAGTCATTGGATGCCACATACGCATTCCCACAAGTGTAGTTCATCTCCGCCTTTATCACATGGCAGTATCACTCCACAGTCATTCCCAGCAATGTTATATTCAATCCTTCGCCACAGCTCACCATCCCCCTTTATCTCTTCCCTCAACTTTTCCCTCCTAGGTCCCGACAATTGCTGGGTCGTGGGCAGCATCCGGCAGTGAGGCATCCTGGCAGTGGTATAGGAAACAGTTGCCCCAACAACTGTAGCAGATAAGGAAAAGAGCAGCCAGGAAGACCAAGGCACAGATGGTACAGGGTTTCCTCTCCAGCAGGAAGCTGAGCAGGTAGAAGCCCATAAACATGGAGTGGTTGAACCACAATGCTGGGTTGAGTGGTTTGGGTATGAGCAGCACAGGGAGTAGCCACTGAAGACAATACATTTTGTCTTCCTGAAGTTAGAAGAGCTTTGGCAGGAGCTCTATGTTGGGCTGTTATGGTTTATTTGAGGTGTTTGCAAATGATATGGCAGGTTCAGGGAAGAGGTGGAAGTGGTGTGATAAAGTGTCAAAAAAGGGCTGTTCCAGAAGGTGGATGAAGAAAGATCTATCCAACAGAGTGGGAGAGATGGTGCACGGACTCAGAAGTTGCTCTCATCAAATCGTGCCTGGAAATGACAAAAAAAAAAGAAGAAATAAATAAACTTTCATCATTTGGATTGAAGTCTAAAAAAATGATCACATCTTAGAACAAAGTTGATAGTCCACTCAAAAAAAAATCTGTTTTCCAAGAAGAAAAAAATTAATAAAACTAATTTTGTTGATCACCAAAGAAACCATAATTGGAAATCTCCTTCTGTTAATCTTTGCTGTTATTATCAAATGACTAGCACCAATTTTGTCCAATTTCAGACACCACTGTCTCACATATGACTAATCTAAGTTCCACCCTATATTTCAGACTCGAGTGCATGGATTACTTCCGTGTAAGGATCAATTCCCAGCAATTTAGCTTTTGGGCTAATGGCAACCGGTATCTCGAATGACTCAAACAAACTACACCTAAATATCCGCACGGAAATTCAGCTATGGAGTTGGTCAGGTTAGAGCAACGTGTTTGAATAAGAAACGTTGAGCAGGCAAGCCTGAAGGACAAATAGTTAATGTAAGAAACAGCTGAGAGCTTTTCCTGGCCACCATTAGCCTACTCCACTTTGTTCAATATGTTGCTATAACTAGCCAGAGTTATTAACAGCAACGGCGAGTCACAATTGGCTGGAGCTAAGAGCTAACCTTATCGACCAGTAAAACACGCGGTTTGGTCTGTCCCACTAACCTGACATTGTGCCACTAACTTCACGCTATAGTGATGGTGTGCTATTATTTTTTATTAATATTACAAAACATTCACTCGAGTCTTTTTAACCAATCGTCCTCCTTAAACGTAGACGTTCAGTTTTTCTGTGGCAGAAAGAAAAGGAAACGTACCACCACATAAATTAGTTAGCAGTTTTGTTGTCCAGTATTACTTCACCGCAAAAACAAAAAAAATCGACTGACGTGAATACAAAAAATTGTATTTATATTAAACCAATGCAGTAGGTGGTAAAGCGTGCCAGCATTATATGCTTAATGTTAAAGCCTCGTGTTCAGCTTTCGTTAATTAACCAATATACCAAAACATTTTAGTGACAGTCAAACAACGTCGACGAGGAAATTCTTATAATATGTATTGAAATGGACTGGGACTTTGATTTATATTACGCCTGTATTTGTAAAGTAAACAACAGCTAGTACAACAGGCTAACTAGCATTAACAGCCATAAAACAACAAAATATAAGTATTGCACGAGAATTTCAGAAAGAATAAAAGTCAAAAATTAAATGTTCATACAAATAACAGCACTTAACATATAAAGTTAGTTATGATATGATGTGGTCAACAAAATACAGGCAAACCTGTCATCCTCTAGGCTCATTCTACCACAACAGACTGCGTACGTCGCTGCTAGCAGGCATTATCACGAAGGACCCCTGCTGCAAAGACGTAAGGTAACCTGTCATGTGCCTGAACGAATTTATATATATTTTTTGTACAGTGGCGTGTTGAATGAACCTTCAGTGTGAATTTATTTGTATTTAATACACAGCGTTTGAAGTCATTTGATACCCCAAGAAGATATTTCTTCTTACCATGAAATGATTTCAGAATTATTTTTTCTAAACACTCAGAAGTTGACTTTTCAGTCCTTTTATTTAACCAGACACATCACAAAACTATTGATTCTATATCTACTATTCATGGTACAATTTTAGCAAAACGACAAACATGATATTAAACTTGGTATACTCGTGGAATATTGAAATGCTTCATTGGGAATTTATTGCTTGATTTTCCAAAGAACTCCCATCCATCCATCCATCCATCCATCCACCCATCTACTTATGATTAAGCATTTATCCAGTAACTCAGCGTGTTTATGCTTTATATATATATAAAGGAAATGGAGCACAATAATTTATGTTATGTCCAAACTTTATTTCTCACAACTCATTCCATCAGCAACCAAAAACATTTATTCAAATTTCTATTGATACACATTAAAATATAAGAAAATTAAAAACAATCAAAGGAATAAAAAACATGGATTCATGAAAAACATGCCCAAAGAATTTCCTTAAAAAACTATATTTTCTTTAAACAATGATTTTTTAAATTATTATTATCTTTTGGTACTACACACAAACCTGTCACCAGGTTATAGAAAGAAAATGAATGCTTGTAAATGTAGATTTTGTTTAATATACATTAACTGTTTAGGCTTCAGGCTTGCAGCAACAAAAACATACGAATAGCTGCTCCTGTGTTACATTGAGGCTTGCTGCAGTGCGAAGTGCTTCATGCTTGTATGTGTAAGTATAGGGGAATGGGATTGTGCGCTGCTTTCCACCTTGTGCTCTCAAAAATTAGCTCTACCAAATGCAAGTACTGTACTAAAGTCCCCTGCATCTAATAAAATATGTATAATAATTCAGTGTAATTTGTAGAAAATTCATTATACAACACACCTGTTACATTGAGAACATTTAACGTAAAACAGCAAAAACATATAAAATATACTGTAGATACAATAAAGAGTAACACTGAAGGAGACGAACAGCAGATGAAACAAATGCAATCAGAGTAAAACAAATGTGAAACAATTGACTTCTGAAGGCTTTTTTGTGAGACATACATTTTTATAGAAATATATTTTCTGTGGTATTTTTGATATCACCTTCATCATTCAGCATTTTTAATGGGATTTAAACATGATACTGTATATTTACAGTCCTGGACTTGACTGAATTTGCCACTGGAGTAAAATATTATATAGTATATTACATCATGATGTAATGGAGCTAAAATACTTAATTTTATTTTTAAAATATTTTGACCCCAGGTATGTGTTTTTTAATTGGATTTGCACATCAGAGATGTACAAATCCAAATAAATACCTTAAATAAATTAAAAAAAAAACTCCTACAGTCATGTAACTAATATCACAAATTTAGTAAAGCTGAATAACACTGATGTAAAGCAAAGTTTAGCTGATGTGAGTTTCAAGCTAAGTTACAATTGGGGATAAAAAACAGAGAGTCATCATCAGAGTCATTATTAACTTTACATGCTAATTTAGCAAATAAAGTCAGCAATAGGACTATATCTGCAAATGTACAGGGTTGAACAGAGAAAAAAAATCATCCAGTTGTAATTTAATTTAGAGGTCAATAAATCACTTTGTCAGAACCGAAATATCAGTGCAGTATCTTTAAGATTTTAACTTCAAGAGTCAAGGTCCGGAATATGTCTCCATTTAACAACGTGAGTGGAGAATAACCTGTCAAACATGATTTTGTATTGTACATCAATGAATGGAACTACTTAACTGTGTCTTAACCTGTGCAACACATTTGCATGAGATTGTGATCTACAAATGAACCTGTCAATCGGGCACATCCTTTGGTGATCCTAACATTTAACATTTAAACACATGAAACTTTAGATTTTGCTTGGGTTCGGGAGTTTAACCCAGGCACGAGCCACTGTATGTATTGTATGTTGTGTATTTCATGCATTTCATACCCATGTGTGATAGCCTCAGGATTTAGCCAGTAGCATCAAGCAGGCATTCCATTACCGATTAAAAAAGCATCAGCTAACAGCACACACATATATTAAACACTGGTGGAGGAGGGTGCACTGGCGGCCTCTGCGGTTACAACCATTCCTATAAGCAAAATAGAAGTATTTCAAAGACTTTATGTGATACGTTTACATGATGCAGCATTTTAACACTGATAGTCACTATTTCCTAAAGGAATTAATAAAGTGCCATGACCATACTTTCAAAGTCGCTTCGGTGTGTACTTCCTGTCCAGTGGTTGGGAGGAGGAGCTGAGAGGAGTCACTGCTGTCATCAATGATGGTAAAATAGCTACTGTATAAACACGGGTCTCAATTGAAAGCATCTAAGTAGTAGCTAATCTGTCAAAAGCTTGTGGAAATATGCACAATTGTTCAGCTTTATTTATTTAATTTTCATATGAAATGTGGAAAATACTATCATGTGGACTTTTCTATGAGCTAAAGAATAAGGCACAATAAACTGAAGTGTTTGTATGGTCGAAGTTAGTAAAGATCTAACATCCATCCTATGAGCAGTGAGTTGATTATCTCCAGGAATCTGTGCATGAGATGTTAATGTTAATGTCTACTCTCTGTAGTGACAATAGTGACTCCTGCTGCTCCTGGATCTACTTACTCTCTTTCTCAGTCACTACAGACTACATTCTGTTTCCTGCCAATGTGATCACATCATCTTCACCCTGAACATCATTTTTTCCTGTCTGTAGTTCTATACATGATGCCCCTCCTTTATAATGTTCCCTCCTTGTTCATCCATCAGAGGTGAGTGTCTTGCTCCTCTTCCTCCTCTTCAGCTGCTGCTTGATTGACAAAGACCTAAAATTAAAGGCAAGAGTCTTATTGCTGGTTAAACAGAACCAAGTTTTTTTCTTTTTATTTACAAAAAAGTGTGACAGCATATCACAAATAAAAAAATTTAAAAAATTGGAAATTTATTTGACTGCAACCTACACTAATAGATTTGCGCCCCCATGTTGGAAACAACCTTTTAAAATCCATTATCTCCTCACCTGCCAGCGACTGCTGTCCTCTTTGCCTCTGTCTCCTGCCCCTGCCAGCCCGTTGGTGCTCGGCTTCTTCTCCTGCATCTCAGGCTGGCTGTCATTGGTTACATCTAACATAGGGTTGTCGTGGCAACCATTCTCCACAAAGTGAAGCTCCTCAGCACGGAACTGAAAAGTTGAGAAGCAAAAGTAAGTTTTAGGGTCGAAAAGATTCTGCGTGTCATGAGACAGCCTGGTGGGGAGAAAATGTATTTATATATATACTTTATATATATATATGGTAGAAAAGTATATATGTACAGACCATGGTCTTGGTTGCAGGAAGTCGCCTCTGCCAGCAGATGTAAATGAATCCAGATGTGATGATGACCATACAGATGGAGCCAATGATTACCAGAACCACAAACAGCTTCCCATAGTCACTGCGGGTTTGACTGGGCTGAGAGTGACAACGACTGGTCGCACTGTAGTTCTGGATTCCCACCTGAGTGTACACACACACAAACACATACAAACTCTGGAGTTGTAAGTACTTTACATAGACATAGTGTAGTATATTCTCTATCTTCTCTTAGGCTAACCTTAACCTGTACAAACATGTGGAATCTTAATCCTTAAACCTCAATCTGATATTCGAATTCTTTGGGGGTTTTATATCATTTAAAATAAACTTTGGAACTTCCTGCGACTTCTGAACCGTACCTTGTTTAGACTTTTCCTGATCTCCCCCAACATGTCCAGAACATCACTGGTGGCTATCACACCTGGAAGACAAAACGTGTTCTGTATATTAGTACAGTATTATTAGTATTAGTATTCAATTTGAATGATTAATTCAAATTGAATAATTTAACTAGAGGAATACTTTCTGTTTTCTATTAAACGTATAAAAGTGTCTTCACATATATGTTCATTTGTGTGTGTGTGTGTGGGTGTGTACCACTTTCAGATGCCACGTTCATATGCAGCTGGTGTTGCTGGTGTGTGGGCTTGCTGAGGTAGAGAACCCATGATCCCTCGGGGCTGTTCATCCTCCGAGCGAACACATGCTCCATGATCTTCAGCAAACGCACTCCTTGATCAGCACGGAACTCCTCCTGTCACACAGACAAGCGCAGCTGTGACAACCGTGCAGTTGTTGTACCGCAGCCGTAATTTTTGTTGCTTCCAAGCGAACGGACACCAGTGAGGGCACTTCCTGTTACTACCAAACAAATAAAGACATCTGGGACACGGTTAAAATGCTTAATTTCCTTCTGTTGCGCTGGAACACTAGTAAAAGTTTGGCTCTACACTAAGAACGGAGATGAAAGATCAGGGAAACTCTTTAATAAGCTGTGGCTTTGGATTAGATAAAATGTTGTGAAGACATGGTAAGTTTATTTCATATTTGGATGCAGACCAATAAAAGCAACTGATTATTTCCATTATTAAGCAAAATGACTTAATGTGAACCTTATCCCTGTGGAAAAGCATCACTAGCAACGATGGACACAGATGCCATGGCTGCTGCTGATGTTCCTGCTCTATGACCCATTTTAACTCACGACTACTGTCAAGCCTCTACATCAGTTAATTCATTTCAAATAATGTAATTACTACAAATGTGGTATTCTCATGCAACAAAGGAAATAACATTGCAAATCAATATATTTAGGACATATAAAGAAAATATTAGATTTTATCTTGCTGCATCTCTCCTGCTATAGTTACATGCCCCCCACTTTAGAAACCACTGCGACCGGTGCAGTTACACCAATAATGTGTGCAAACATATCGGACTAAATAAAACAGAAAATAATCTCGTTTGTTTCTTAGTATACCATTATACATGTAAAATTATTTTAACATCTATACTGGGATGGCAGCTTCACCAAGCACTCAGCATCTCACCACCATAACTGTGCTGCATGTATGACGTATGAGTGTATATGCGTGCGCATGGCCGTGCACTGCAGCAGCTGGAGATGGCAGAAGGACATTACCAAGTAAAGGAGGGAAATGCCAGTGTGGCCCTCATCAAATTCAGTCGATGTCTACAGCTGAGGAATACTAAAGTACCTGCTCTCTGTTTTTAGCAGCATCAAGCACACGACAGACTGCCAGTTGGACTCCCATGATTTAAAATTCTGTTTTCTATCTGGCTGGAGGACCTTAATAATTTATTTTAACATAAAATGGTGAGCCTCGTCAACCTGTCTGGGACTTTAAAATGCCTGTTTTGTAATGGATGTTTGTTCTCTTGTTGGTTGGCTACAGTAGCTCCACCTCCCCCAGACACTGTAAAAAATGCAGACTGAAATTTGAATAATTGAAAACTATAACTGTTAAAGAGGAAATTTTACTTTAGAATAGAATAGAATAGAATAGTCTTTATTGTCATTATGTTTGGTTAGAACATTACAAAATTGGGGATTTGTTGATCATTGGCTCCATCTCTATGGTCATTTTACTTTCTTAGGCGGTGTGGTAATATGTGAGTGAATGGGTTTATATTGTCACAGTCCTGCAGTGATGTGTGGTAATGCTGTGCTCACAGTTCAAGAACCTGCTACATGACTGAAATATTTTACAAAACAGAAAACTTTTTTGCCAGAAAGAATTAAATTCAATTATCTTAAATTTATCTCATAAAGTAAATGTAAATTGCTTCAACTTACACAGTTCAGGTTTTGCGTCATGTTTAGGATAACGTAACCTCGGCCAACCAGTTCTTTCCAGTCCAGACACACGACCTGCACATCAGCAAACACACCAGAATCCCATCAAAGTCTTTCTTTTATGATGCCTTGCCTGTGGTAACAGCCTGATGCTGATGAAGTACCTGCTGCGCCTCCTTCATCTCCTCAGTCTTGAGACGACTGCCTCCGACCTTTGACCTCTTAGTCTGTATGGGTGTGGACTTGTCCAGCCAATCCGAAGAGGAGTCGTTGAAGCTGGCGGTCAGAGAGGAGTCTGCAGTGAGAGGTACGAGGTGTTGCGTCCTCGTCCCGTCACTCTCTGTCTTTCTCCACTTCTCGTCCTCTTCACCTTCACTGCTGTCCTCCAGTCCAAATTCTGTAGCAAACACGGAACCGTGAAATCATCAAACTGTATTATTCTGTTACAAAACAAAGTGCGTGTCTGTCTATAGTAGTCAGTACTGCAGGAGAAATTTCTGACGACAGTTTTACTCTAAACGGTATTCATTTAAAAAATGTAATCGTGTCTCCCTACTTCTGACATCCAGATCTTCTTCTCCTGCCTCTTCATCTTCCTCAACAGCAGGCTGCAGGGGCTCCTTGCTTGGAACCATGCCGACGTCTGGTTCGGTGGGATTTTGTCTGGAAACACCAGTCAGTTCTTCGTCTTCTTTTCTGCTGTTTTCATCTGTTAAGATTGTAAAGAGTTTTATTGAGTCACTTTAACATAATATTTGGGGGTTTTCGACTGTTTCTTGAAGGATCAAAATAAATCATCAAAATAAAACTTTGACACGACTTTGATACCGACAACGGACTCAGTTCAACCAATCAGGTGATGGGATGTAGACTTTTTAACTATTGTCTAATGAAGGTGAAGAGGCTGACCTGCAAATGCAGCACAGACAGTATGGATAAAAAAAATCACTGCATTTGGTAATTAAAATTTTGCTCCCACCTTTGCTGGTAAAACTAGTCCACAGTCCAGCATTAGAGTCAGTCTCAGGGGCGGCAGTGTCTACGACCTCCACTCCTCCAGCGACCTCAGCAGAAAGAGTGGAAGGAGAAGTGGACGGAGCAGCAGATGTTGCCGTAGTAGTTGTAGTGACAGAGGAGTGAACCAGTCCATAACCACTGGACAGAACATCTTCCTCCCCCTCGGTCTCCCACGGCTCCCGCTATAGAGAAAATACAAAATCAAAAGCTTAGCTCCAACTGAAGGTGTAGTTAATTTAAAAAAAATACAGGGAAAATATTTACAGGAAAGGTTCTCTACAGGTCATTGTCAAAACCAGTCAATGGCTTCCACTGTACTTTTTTGTCTAAGTACAGTAGTAGGAAATTCACAAACTGTGTTTATTTGAAATGGTCGCACCGTTCTCCAATGAATTTAATTTTCTAATAAAATCACAGATTTTGTCCAAATACTACTGTGTTTTTCGGCCCAAGCTCATCTTAAATTCCGTGTTCAGAGGAAGATTTGTTTAAGGCTGCGATGGAAAAACATCAGGGAAAAAGGGACGATGCACAGATTAAAGTCACGACTGGATTACAAAGAAAATGTGATTTTCATTCTCTTTGCTGAGTCATTTCTCTGCATTTGTCTGGTCAGCAAAAACCTATGAATCACCACTAATCAAGTAAAGCAAAAGAAAAATCTTTGAATCCATCTTCCATTTGACAGACCCAGAGACACTTTATTTTCAGAGGTTTCTTATCTGACATTTAAAGATGTGTCATTTTACTTTGAACTGTTCTAGCATATTAAACAAATGGCACCTATTGGTAAACTAAAAAGACCAGATAAAAAAACCCCACCAAATTTACTTAGGTTTTTTCCTCTTCTCACCTCTAGGACAGGAGAAGCATGATGCTCCTGTGGCCCAGTCTCATGTATTTGAGCTGGGGAGGACAGGTCAGGCTGCACAGAGCTGGGGGGGTGGGCCGATGGACTGTAACCTGTGAAAGACAAAGACGGAGCACTAACTGACTTTATACTGTGTTCTGATCGTTCTACTACTGGACAAACATCTGCTAGGATTGAGTTTCTGTTTAAATGTCCCACCTCCTCTCAACCCCATTTGTTCCTCCTGTTCACATGACCAAATCAGCACTGATTGGACTTTGTCCCTGACATATTTTTTTTATCTTGTATTTATTTTAAGTTGACTAATCTGTCAAATAAATGTTATTCTCATCATTTAGCCTGAAAACTCTTTAGTTTTTGTCTTGGACCAAGACCAGTTTGGTTGACTGTATCCTGGCCAAAGACAGTCACCCACCAATCAGAGTGTCCAGATCTGGTGTTAGATGGCCAAGCTCTGATGCATCTTCATTGTCTGCTTCACCCTCTCTGTCTCCCCCTCTTCGCTCTCTGTCTTCCCCAGTGTCTCTCTCCCACTCTTCCTCTCCCCCTCGTCTCGCTCGCTCGTCTCCCCCTTCCTCTCCTCTGTCTCTGTCCTCCATGTCTGTGCCATAGAAGCCTGAGGCCTCCTGGGAGAGGTCTGTCTGTCCAATGTAACGCTCAGAGTCCTGGGGGGAGACCAGGTGGACCATCCGCTGAAAGTAGAGAGAGGAAAAGAAATACAAGATGTTAAAAAGATTACATCAACTCTTAACCCTGTTCTATATTGACTTAAAACCCTACATATATATATTTATATATATCCCCAACATTAAATTATGATTTTTGTCATGGCTGCTGTTTCCTTGTTATTATTTTTTTTTTTTTTTACCTCCATTTCATCTTCCACGTCCATGTTGTCATCCATAGCAGTAGCAGCAGCAGAGGGCCTGGCTTCACCCTGACTCTCTGAGGCAGCAGACGGTTGATTTGCACCAGAGGAGTTAGCCACCACCTTCATCTGAGGCTGGGAGCGGGAGATTTCCTGAACCTCTGGCCGACCCATGTCATGAACCAGATGAGGCTGGACTCGCACTAACTCTTGGATCACATGGCGTCTGCTTCTGACCAGCTCCTGGATGAGGAGCGGCAGGGCCGGACGTTCATCTCGGAGTAGATCAGGTGGTGTGACACGCTGTGAGGGGTCTAGTGTGAGGACGTCACAGCTGCTCAGCAGAGCTGCAGGAGAAACAGGAGCAACAGAAATAACCTGTTTATTTAAATATATATGTATTCTTATTTACTATTAACCACAATTACCTATAGCACACTATAACACATTTGTGTGCTGTATCATTTGCACTGAAATGTTAAGGGTTCTCTATGGTGCTGTTCAACACAGGGGCACTAACCAAGGTTAAAGTACAGTTATTAAAGCTTCAGCTGTGGGAATATCCGGGGAAATTAAGCCAAACAAACAAACAAACAAAAACCTGAAGTTAAATTGTATTAATTCTCTAAAACTAAAGAAATGTAAATGAATAGCGTGATTAATGGATTTAATATAATTAGTTGATGGGAATAGTCAAACGCTATAAATTCTGCTAGGATTTTTGGCTGTAAATTAAAAAATACAATGTGATTTTTATTGTTATGTTATATTACGAACACTGTATATAAATACTGTATATGCTAAGCTATTATCATGTATCTTCTATTTAACAACAACAACAACAACAACAACTTAGGTACCATTGTTATACAATAAATAAAAACCCTTATAAAACACAGAGAAAAGTCAAACAGACCAGACGGTGGTGACTGATCCAGTCACTTTAACTTCTCTGCTGATTAAATGTTTGTTTGTTTTTGTTCTCGTACTCAGACTCATAATGAAGAAGACTCTCATATCAGAGTGAATGACTGGAGATAAGAGCACTCTGCCTGATGTCTGCCTTACATGTTATAAACAAATCGAATTTACTGTCAAATATCTCTCTACGACCGCCGCTGGAAAGTCTCTGCACCGCAAAGTCTCTAATTAATTGCAGTTTCTCTCTTCATCCCAACACTTCACTCTGCACTCATTTACAGTATTTGCCAGTCATTTCATTTATTTATTTATTTTTTGTTTGTGCTTTTACATGGTTCTGTCAACGCGTTCTCATTTGTATCTCCTGCTAATGACATTTATTTTTGAATACAGTTTGGCCTTGTCACAGCACATTAACATAATGGTTAATGAATCATGAACTGATGATTCAGGGTTCATTCAAACCTCCAACGCAAAAACATTAGACGGGTTACAAATGTAAACACTGCATCTCTTTTAGAAGCAAATCAAAATGTGATTGGCTACGGACAGTGGAAAGCTTGAATTCCACGTAGCTCAAATATATCAGTACAAATTTGAAATGCTTGCTAATCATTGGATATAAGCGAAATCACTAAAGACACAGAACGTAACCAGTGGTGTGATGGCTATTTATACTCTGTGGTGTTAAAAATGTGACATTAGTGGCTTGCCAGCACCATTGTGACACAGGTTTTTGTGAAGCTAAAATGTACATGCCAGGCGAGGTAAACCTGCTAACAACTTCCACCTAGCTTCTTCTTTGGATTTTGCTGGCAAATCTAACTCTTGTGAGCTGCACTATTGCCACTTCATGTGTCTTTTTTATGCTAAAAAAAAAAAATTATTTGAAAAATGTCACAGAACCATGAGTGATTAGCTCATGTTTTTGGGTTTTGTTTTGTAAAAGTATTCTGTCACTGTGTGGACACGTCTCTCATCACTGATGATCTCAGCCCCGTCTCAGACCACAGATGGCTGTCTGACCTCAGGAGCTGACTGAGCAGATCATCATACAATTGGCAACAGGTTCTACACACGTCTGCAGCACGCTACCCTGCCGCCGACCCTGCAGCCTGCTGTGACACAGAGACACTGCTCCCAACCTGCTGCAGGAAATATTTACGCCAAAAGGCAAGCTTTGACACATCAGGAAACATCGAAACGATGATAAATAAACGGATGATGTCAGATAATCTGCATCTAAACGGAACAAAAACATATCATAGAGAATAATGTTTTGATTCTTTGCAGCTGTTCAGAGCAAGACAATGAATATAAATGCAATCCCAGAAATATTTTACTTCAACCTTGAAAAATTGCTTAGTTTAAACCTCGAGGGCTCCATAAAAGATCCAGCTCACCGAGGATGACTGGTCCAGTAAGCTGAGAGAGAAGATGAGGGAGAGCATGGGAGATAAAGATGCAGGGATATAAAGGAAGGGGGCCGGGGCTGGATAAAGGATCTATCACTTAGCACAGGAATAATATAGTGCTTTTAATTTCCAGTCTCCATGCCTTAAAGCTGCCAGGAGTCAACACTGAGAAGTACAATACACACATGTATTAACATAAAAATGTAAACTCAAGTGCAAGGAAATGCAGAAAGTCACAAAAAAAAGTAAAAAAATAAATACAACCAACATTAATATAAACTAATGAATACAAATGTTTCCAGGACAGAGCAACTCTCTGCTGTGTTTTTTTAGCATTGCTTTCTTTTGGGGAATAATGAGGCTGAGGATTTATAGTCTCCCTGAAGCCCCTCCCTGTATGATTTAACTCCCCTTAGATCAGCTTAAAACTGACTAGATCCCTCCCTAAAATCTGCTCCGTCCTCATCCGCCCCTGTTTTTAAAACCGGCCTCCATGTTAGAGGCGCAGGTTGAAACAAGATTATTTTGTTGCCTTTTATTCATCCGATGTCGACTCTGTCCACAGCAACAACAACATGAGTCCAACAGAAAACGCTGCGTTCAGTCTCTAATGAAGCTTCGACAGTGATGAACAACAAGGCAAAGACGCAGAAATGTCAGGAATTTGGATGATGCTGCATGAAATCTGTCAAACTCATCCAGTCCTCAAATATGATTTCAAATGACAGTTTTCTATTTTTTTATTAATTGTTGGATAACAAGGTTACAGTAAATCAATACTTTAAATTTATTTATTCTTTAAGGAGATTGTTATGATTTGAGCTGAAAAATTACATTAGGATTTTGCATTTTTTAAAAACTTCTTATTAACAAAATAATTTGAAAATTTGAATAAGAATTGTTTAATAACCTGTATTTTTTCATGTATTTTTATTCACATATTTATTGCTAAATCAACAACTTCACCCTAATTTAGGATATCCATGCAATTCCCTGTTCCTCCTTAAGAATATAAACATTATTTTATTTATTTTTTTAATTTCATAGTTTCTGTGTAAATGCCACAGGTGTTTGCACCAAACACATTGTTTATATTAAAACTATATTAAAAATTATGTTGTGGAAATGATGGTGCAGTTTTTAATAAACTGCATCCATTTAATAAAGTACATGGCAGTGTACCTGGGTGGGTGGGGGGGGGGTGCGTGGGT